CTGGCAGTGTTCAAGGCCAGGTTGGATGAGGCCTTGGGTGATATGGTTTAGTGTGAGGTGTCCCTGCCCGTGGTAGGGAGGCTGGAACTTGGTGATCTTAAGGTCCTTTCCAACCCTAACTATTCTATGATTCTGTGAATAATAAAAACCTTTCCTCTGTCTTCCTCTGGTTTCCCTTTGCATCTTTTCACCTGAAGTATTTATTTTTTTTTCTCTAAGTGGGGTAGAGAAAAAAGTAAAGTTCTAGAAGTGTGATGGGTCTAGTCCTATGCAAAATATTTTAAGTGTTAGCTATCTTAAGTAATAGTTGGATGGAGGGAGAAAAGGGAGTTTTGCTTAATACTTAGCAATTTGTGTCTATTTTTTCTATAGGTAAAATAATTTGCCATCATCATCACTTCTGATAATTCCTGAGAAATGAAGAAGGCGGCACTTTCTGGGCTTGGGACAGTCCTTTGTGAATTGCTAATTCTACTTCTCCCTCTAAGTTACAAATGCGAGAGAACTCGCGTCTCTTAGTGGGGACTTCATGGGTTTTCAGAACAAAAAAAGAAAAAAACTGTTGTCTCCCACTTCTGCATTTCGTAGTTTGAGGCTGCATCTTACCTGAGAGAGGTTTCAGGAGGGGCACCCTCAAGCTGTCCAGTTTCAAACAGGCTAACACAACAGGCATAAAGGAACAAGAACCCCTGCTCATGCTTGCCTGCACTACGGCTTATGTGGAGATATGCAGCTGTGTCACAGGAAAACATGGCTCCAATGTGGCATATAGCTTAGGTCAATGACAAGGCAATTGTAAACTTCCAGGAAGGCATCTCAGGAGCCTCCTGATTTTTCTCGAGGTCTGATCACAACTACTGTTACAGCCATCAATCAGAAGGTTGAAATTTGTCTCTCAGCCAAATGTGTGTCACTTTAAACAGGCTATGATATGTACAAGGTCACGGTTTCTGTGAAGGGTACCATTTTTGTTAGGTATCAAGTAAACTGCATTTCCGTTATGTGGGCTATTGCCAGTTCTTGAGATGAAAGTGCTTCATGATAGCATTGATGACTCCAGGATGGAGAGTCATGTGCAAGTTAAAAATTTTCCCTTTTGTGGTAAAGTGTCTTTTGCATGATACATGTGAATTGAAACATGGCACAATTTGAGTTTGAAATGGCATGCATGGTCCATTCTTTCAAAGTTTTAAGAAATTAGGAAGAAAAGATGCTAGCCATTTTTCAACTGCCTTACTCCCTCAAATACTGGTTTAGCAGAATAGTTATTTTTAAAAATAATAATAGTTGCCTTTTCATACGTGTATCTCATGTTTCCAAATGACGTATTTCCACAGGAATTGATGTTAAATGTAGAGTGTTTGGTAATACTTCCTTTTACTCTACCTTTTCAGTAAATACTTTAAATGAGTAGGAAATAAAAGTGCAGAGGAGTTTGGTGTTCTAGTAGTTGGGATTATGTCCTTTTACATACATGTATATACATTTGATTTATTTATTTTTTTCTACATAGTTTAGGCCAAATGAGAAACAGTCTTCGAAAATGGTTGATGATGACACTTTTAAATTTAAAAGTTTATGTAGTCTTCTAAATCGGAAAGTTGGAATATTATAGACAAAAATGACGTTCTAAGTGTGTGTTTCTATTGCTTAGCTGTGATCAAAATGATATTTTGATGCTTGATAATATGCGAATGAATACACTCAAGTGCTTGTCAGCCTGAGTGCTAACAACCTGTACACAGGCATCTTTCTCCAGTTACTCCATTGTACTCATTGGCCTTTCTAGGTACTAAAATTTCTGAAGCCCCAATTTAAAAAAGCCCCAATTTTTTTTAAACTACACTTTTGTGGTACAAGACACTTTAAAATTATGTTAATGTGCTATGGTTATGTTTTCTGCACTCTCCCTGTAGGTGTAAGAGCAAGGCATACAGAGGATCTAGCACTGTGGTAGTTAGTGATTTGAAAGATCACATTTTCATTTGAAAAGAATTCATGCAAAAAAATGGATTTACAGACAAGGCATCTTTGCTTCTCCATACTTCTTCTGGGCCATGCTATGGTTTGGGAGTTTTCCTTCCCTGAGTTTTAAAAGCTGTGTGCTCGGAATTGAAATATCCCCCAAAGTTAATCTTTGATTCTGCAACCAGAGCATGCAGAGCTAATTTAACGCCAGGTTTTACCTTGGCATTGCAACAGTGAGCAGAGTTTAATGGGTCAGCCAGTTATCATGAGCAGAAGGAGGAATATGACTGCAGCTTGCCCATGTGGCTTTTCTTACATGAAGGAAACACGTATGTTCTGACGATTCCCAAGCTGGGGACATTGCACAATTGCAAGTGTCCGAATTTCCCCAAGCTTTGGCATACGACTTTAAAAAAATATCTACTGTATTTACATTGATACTTTGTCCTCTTTGACTTTTCAGATTAGCATAACTTGTTGCCGATGCGTAGTTCTTTGAGGGAAAAGGACATGGTTCACTTTACAGAGCCAAGTAATAAATCTTCCTGAAGTTATGGCAGTTCCTAACTTTGTTAACAAGGTGTAGATAAGCGCTGGTCCTCATTTGTCTTGCTTGGGATTTTACCTTGTAGAGCAGTAATGAATGTGTTGGGGAGAATCAGAAAATACTTACCCCTTCCCCCTCCTTGCATGACTGCACCCAACCACCACTGATATTTTGTGAACGGGAAATTACAGCTCCTAAATTTGACATTTTAGACATAACTGAAAAGATTAACTTTTAGGGTTGTGGCTGTGAAAATGTCTACTCCTTGTATGTTTAAGTTTGGGTAAATATTTTGCAATCTGGGAAGATTTAAGAAAATCACAAACAGAGTAAATGGCCAACTTGTAATTGGAAACAACTGGTTGGAGAATTTTGCTATTTCTTTACGTTTAAAAGAAGTTAGGTGCTGTAAATTTGTGTGCTTTCTTTTATCCATTAAAATCTCTGTTTAGATCACTTGAAGTATCATTCTTAGGTAACTGAAAATAGGCTCCTCTGCTTTGGGTAGCCAAACCATGTGAAGGCTTTATAACTCTGCTAGAAAAATATCAGGGTAAATACCTGTGCAAACACACCTGCATGAGTGTAGCTTGCCTGTGAAAAGTTTTAATTTTACTATTTTTCTAATGACTACCTGTAAGATTCCACTGGAGTGGAGTGCATGCGTGTGCAAAGCTTTCTGCTCCCTCTTTCCTTTCTCCCATCCTAAAGATTTTTAGCAGGGAATCCGGTAAACTAAGTAAATCCCAGTCATTAGTGCAGCAGCTAAGTTTTCTGAAAACTGGGCAGAGATGGCTAATGCTGTGATTCTGTCCCCAGCTGGCTCTGGCACTTGCTAGGCTCTCTGCTGAGCTGGTCTGGTATGTTGAGCCAACAAAAATGTAACGTGACCAAAAAACAGTTAAATAATACCAGCTAGATGGGTCAGGCCATCATAGAACCAGAGCCCTATGCATGTTGCAGAGGGACAGATCTTCAGTACAACTGTGTACGATTTTGTCCAAGATCAAGAAAGCTTATGGCTAAAGGGCAAATAAATTATAGGAAGCATATGTGACTTGCTCCAAGTTCCTGGTGCTAAATACTATTTATGCACAGCAGAGAATCTGTATGTGTAGTATGTGTATGCAAAATAACGTATCTGTCAAGCAGTTCAGTAAGTTTAGCCCTCTACCGTTGTGAAATCTAGGGTTTAGTTTCAAGTTAAATACAAGTTGGTTATTTCTTTTTTTTTTAATGTCTTACTGCAGTACAATCAAACTTACCTTGAGTCCATGTCATCCTTTAGTGTTAACTAGGATAGCTTTATTGGATCAAACGTGAAATATAAGTGTCTCCGGTATCCTGTTTCTGACAGTAAATAGTGAATTCTGACAGCCAATATTAAATATAAGGGAACAGTAAGAAGGAGCATGTCTGTGTTCTAAGACCCTTCTAAATATCTGCAGCTTATAGGCTTTTTGAGCCAGATGTGACATCCTTGAGTTTACAGGCTCTTCATGGAGCTTGTGTTTTCCCAATTACTTTCTGAGTCTTTAAATTTCTGGAGCTCATTCCCACAATATGTTGTGGATCACAAAGTTTAATTACATACCATGTGCAAAGCTACTGTGTTTTTTTTGACCCTGCCTCTTAATAGTGTCCACTGCTTCTCCCTAATGCTTGCACTTGGAAAGTACTTGTGCTTTATTTATCTCCTCCATGTCACCTATGATTCTGTACTCATCTTTTCTAACCTCTGTGGCTCCTTTTTCCAGGCTGAGCAGTCCAAGCACTATGTTTCTGGTTTTACTCTGCTTTTTTTGACAGGGGAAGGCATGATTGCATACCTTACTGCATCTGTGGGTGCACTGGGGATGCATACAGTAGAATTGTATTTTTGGTTTGACTCTTCGAGTTCTTTCCAAACAATTGTTTCATTTGCTTTATGATAGCTACAGAGCTAGTGTTTTGTTGAACTGTGTGACTACATGACTGTTTTTCCTACCAGATAGAGCTCCTATGCTAGTTGTGTTATTTTGCATTTACCAGTGCTGCAGTGTTAGCCATACAAGTCAGCACTTGTGTGTGTTCAGTAGGATAAGCAAGAGGGAGTTAGGCAGAGGAAGCTGTATGTGTTCCTTCTGTTTGTGTCCTGTGCTTTGGTTCAGTATGTGCTAAGGATAATGGGAGCTTCATATCTGTCACTTCCACACACTGAATTGGGTAAGCAGTGAGTGGGAATGAGTGGAGTCCCCAGTGTTATAGGTGACAATGCAGAAAGGGACACCAGGTGATTTTCTTCCAAGACCCAGCTAGGCACTGAAATGCTGGGGAAGCTCTGAGAGATCAGTCTCTTGTCTAAAATTCCACTTAAGATGCATCCTGGCCAGCAATACCTCACTTGACATAATACTGCCAAAATAATTTTAAAGTACGTATTTTTGTTATTTACTAACTTGTATCTTAAAACCCAGAAAAATTACATTTCTCTGTACTCTTCTAGTTCTAGGTCAAATGATTAGTTCTGTGACAAGGCAGCATGACACTTTGAGTATGACAGAAGCCCTGATGCTGCAGGAGAGGCTGGGAATATTAATGGCCAAATCTAGGTGAGTGATTTTTAATTCTGCTGGTTCCCTAACTGTTTCATTTATTCCTCGTAGCCTTAGTTTACATCTCTTCTTTGAACCAACATTGCAGTTCTTGATTTTCTGAAGTATTAATATCAGAATATATTGGAGACAAAGTAACAAGCTTACATGATTATCAAGACCCTACCCTTTCTTTTTGTCTTTCTTGAGATACAGTGGCCATACTTCATACAATTTCATATAGTTTATTGCAAGCTTTCTGCTTGCAACTCTAGTGATTTATTCCAAACTATTTTGCAGTTAAGGATTTTTTAAATTGTTTTAAGTTTGCAAGCACCTGCCTACAACAGATTTTATCAGCTGTTTTATGCTGAATGCCGAGAAAGTCATGATACTAAAACAGCATGCTACTGTCTAGTTCTGTTTCCACTTTGTCAAAATGTTTGGGGAGGTCTAACACTGAGCTTTATTAAGTGCAAGTTATCTGTGCCTGAAAGCTGCTGGAAGCATCTACAGCTATGACTGCTGTATGGACCAGAGCTTGAAAACTTTTGCTGCAAATTTATATATTCATTGTGAATCTGCATTGCAGCTGTTGTCACTTGTTGCTCTTTTTAGCAGTGAATTCTCAGCATGAGTAGGGTACCATCAATAGGCTAGCAAGACCAACAACGTGAACATTACTGTAGTGAGGCATTGTGGAGTGCAGGGTAGGAAATTAGTAATAGGTTTTATTACCTGTATCTCCCTCTCTAAACAAATCAGGCAGAATTCAGAAGTAAAAATTTTGCTGAACTAACTATGGCATGTATGTGTGAAGACTGTTAAAAATAGTCTGTAATTGAGTGATTTGACTGATGAAAAAGATTTAGGACTTCGCTATGCAAAAATCAGTTGTGCGTAGCATAGCTTCATTCTCTAACAGTACAAGCAAGCAATCAACCCCCCAGTTTCATATTGAGCGGGGGGAAAAAAGCTCCATCAAATTAATGCATGTTTTGGTGTTACAGCCAGAAATGACAGTAGAGAATCCATGATTTTGACTGTGTGTCTGGCACTTTGCCTCTTATTGGGATTAATCCAAGCCATATTGTTACCTTTTATGCTAAATTCTCCATTTCACCTCTTCAGGGCTTTAGTGGCAGATTTATACAGTCTCTAGGATAGCAGTATCTCTTTTGAGTGGGTTTTCTGGTCAAGAAGAGTGGAAGAGTTATCCGCTCTTCATTGTGTTTCTTGCACCTTACTTCTCAGCAGACTAAAGTGCTACTTGGGGTACTACTTCTGCATGCTAATACAAATGCCTGTCTAGAAAGCATGTCTCAGTCTTATTAAGGTGACATCAGATTTTTTTCCCCTTTAGTCAGGCAAAGTTACCAACCAGTTCCTCTTTCTTGATTCCTAATGGCATATCTTGTGTTGACTTACTCTTCCAGGATTTTGCCCCACTTTTCATTTTTGTAGTGGAAATTCTAGTTCTTACCCAGTATAAAGATGAGGTAAATAGTCAAGGTTTCTTTTGTCTGACTCTCATACTTCTTAAATACCCATTTAATACCCTCTACCACCCGTTCTGCAAGGTGGTAGAGGGAGGAGAAGGTTGTTGTGAGACTTGGTTCTATGAACATTTTATCATTGTTTTATGAAAGTTCTACCACACATAGAAAAATATTTAAATGAAAATATTTAAATGCCAAATATTTTTATTTCCTTATTTTAGGTTAGTTGAATATTTTAGAGTTCTATAGCAAATGAAGTAGACTCTGTAACACAATCCAAATAGAACTGAAATAAAAAAACCTTCAAGTTTCGAAATATTTGTGTTGAATATGGGTTTTTTTCCTTCCCTTGACTTTGATTGCATAGTTTTATGTACATTGCTATATGGGAAGTATTTAAATGTGAAGCACAGAGGCTCGCTGCACTGCTGCCAGCACAGGGCTGCCTCTGGGCTTAGAATGCCTCCATTCTCTCTTGCAAGCCAGCCCTGGAGCTGCTGAAGCCAGGGCAGCCTTTCAGGACTGCCATGCAGGCTCTTTGTGTTGCCTCTGCCTGGTAACCTCCCACAGCCCAGGGCTTGTATGAGCATCACTAGGGCTGTGCTCGGCAGTCTCGGCTGGGGAGTGCTCATTTAGAACTGGAATCCAGAGAGTTGCCCTGTGTAAAGGCCCTGGTTCAGGAGATGAGAATTGCACACAGTAAGTTGTTGGGTTTTGTTTTCCCCAAGCTGCTGCCATGGGAATTAAGGTGACAAATCAAATGGGTCTGTTTTGTAGTAACCTAGAGTTGAATTATTGGTAGGACTTTAACAGCTCGGTGTTGCCACTCCTAAATGCCAAATCTAATTTAACTATTTAAAAATATGTCTAATATTTATGTTGGTTTTGGTTTTTTTTTATTGCTTATGACTGTAAAACTCATCATGAAGAATTGTCATTTCAAAGAGCAATTTGTTTGGGGTTTTTATTGATAATACTCTAATTATTCTTCAACTAAATGATACTTCTCATGTTTGGTTGGGTCTTTTTTCGCCTTTAGAGATCACATGGTCTTCTAAAGAAGTCATGGGTAGCTGTTGTAGCTGTCCAGATAAAGAAACTGTCCCAGATAACCATCGAAATAAGTTTAAGGTAAGCAAATGATGTGATACGTTCTTAATTATTTTGTTGCTTTCTTGCAGAGCAGGTAATTATTTTTTTCTTAAAAAAATTAAGTAAAAAAAGGGTGAGAATTACTGAACAGTTAAAACATTGCAGAGTTGAAGGTGTCCATAGCTACAGGTTTCTACTGCCCCTTTGAGAAATCCTCTCTTACCAGCAGTGACAGGAATTCTCTAGATGGGTAGGCTTTTTTGTGACAGTTTTGATCTTCAGGAAAGAGCAGCAGTCCTGTGCTTTTGTTGGTAGGGCCCTAGTAAATGTTTTTGCTTCTGTGAGGTTATGGAAGTTAGGAGGGGAGTTGTGAGCATAAGGGAAGATCTGTTGGAGAAGTGTGATTGTGAACCTGTATGTGGAGTCAGCAATGGAAAATTTTTGAAGCCCACTACTAATGGCAGTATTTTTGTCAGGATAATAAAAAGTTTTTATTTTGTCGTTTAAGAAATTTTATTTATAAATGTGCTTCTGTCCCTCATATCCCTGGAATTTATAAGCTTATGTCACACTTGTTCATATGTTTAACATGCTTAATATGAAGCTGCTGAAGTCAGTGACTTTAAGTAAACATACCTTTGCATAGTCACACAAGTCAGATTTGCTTCTGTGCTCCAGACTGTCTCTGTGAGTTGGCAAAGGAATGTAATGCTTCCATAGTGGAAAAACTATTCATGAGTTGCCTTAGGGCAACACCAAAATGAGCTTTAAAGCCATGGGAATTTCTGGAAATGTTTCATATTATCAGTAGAAAAAGCTGAAGGATAAAATATTTTTCTGTTTTCTTGCTTTTTATGCATTTGACATCAATCACTTTGTGTTACTAGTTCCTATTTTTCTCCTCATAGAATTTGTCTATTGTTTGTGTGGGTCACTGATTTAGCAGCAGGGGGAGGAGATGCAAGCATGTAATTTGTAAAATGAAGAAAGTTGGCATAGGCCTCAGTGGCAGATTTAACTATTCCTAATTCTTTTCAGTTGACTAGATTCCAATTTGAAAATCTCTCTTTAAGGAGTAACATTCATCAATATCATAGGGAAGATTTTTTTGGTAGCCTTTTTATTGAGTAAGACGTAATCCCATTAGAAGCAGTATTGTGAGATAAAATAAATGCAGAGGAATCTTCTAATTGAAGATGTCCATACAGGGGTGTTGGACTAGATGACCTTTGAAGGTCCCTTCCAACCCAAACCATTTCTATGAGTCTGTGAAAATAGACATTGTCCAGATTGCCTAAAGGATGCAGATGACCTCAAACTGGTTTAAAAGCAGAAAAAAAGGCTTTTAATCTTTGTACACATTTTCACACAAGGTAATCATAGGATATTTGAATTATTTGGGGTTTTTTTTTTGAAAAGGCATAAAAAAGTCTAAACCAGTCTGGTGATTCAGCACAGTGCAAGGCTACACACGTATGTGAAGGAAGCTTTATCTTGGAGCTGCTTATCTTTTTCATTCCTTTACCCAACTTTAAGTGGGGTTATATGACAAATCAAATGTTTTTTCAGAAATGGGTCTCTAAAAATATTTCATTATCTGAGGTATGCCTTATCTGGATGAAAACACTAGAACATGTACATAAAGCTAGTTTAAAAAAATTAAACTTACAAATCTCTTGTGTTTTAAATTTCTCCTTGGATTTTACAGTAATGTCATGTAGTCTTACTCAAACTGCTTTTAAATATGTATTACTTTTAATTCTGGGTGGGGGAAGCAAAGGAACTGGTTTGATGAGGTGTTTTGTGTTTTTAACTTTTACCTCAAGGATCATAACCAGTATGACAGAGCAGGTGAAGCATTATCAGGGAAACATTAGTAGTAGTAGTATTGGTGTTCAGACAGTACTGACCTAATGCTATTTAACTTCTTTTTTCATAGGTTATTAATGTCGATGATGATGGTAATGAACTGGGTTCTGGCATAATGGAACTTACAGATACAGAACTAATTTTGTACACCCGTAAAAGGGACTCTGTAAAATGGCACTACCTCTGTCTCCGTCGCTATGGCTATGACTCAAATCTTTTCTCTTTTGAAAGTGGCCGAAGGTGTCAAACTGGACAAGGTATGTGATCTTTTTATATTAAAAGCTTTTTGGAAATTATTTGATGTTGGATGACACTTCCCTTCCTTCTTCCCCCATCCCCCAAACAAAAAGTATATCTGCCTGTCCTTTGGCAAGAGTTCTAAAGGCTATAGTTTTATATGGGAAGGTGGTTTCTGGGGTAAGAAAGTGTGTTACCTTATGAGGAATGGTCTTACGGTAAAATGAGGATTTCAGTTACACAGTTTTTGGCACTGTAGGTCTGGATAGCTCTCATCAACTTAGGAGGTGTTTTTGGCAAGGAAATCCTTCTACCTCAGAGGCTGACTTGACCTTCAGAGAAGGGCAGTGAAACCTGGAACTGTGGAGGAATCTCCTTGGAATTCAAAGAATTCTCAATTTTTAGATTTTTAAAAGATTGGACCACTGATATGAACTGGATATCCTGACTCTGTTACTGTCTTCAGTAACACACTTGTGTTTCTTTCATCCTCTTCCTAAAACAAATGCCACTTCCATTTATATCAGTGATGCCATTTTCAAATTCATATTATTTGTATGAAGTGTAATCTCCAGTTATGCTCAGTTAGTTATTTTCTATGTGTGTGGCTTTAATTGGAAAAGATGGTTACCTTTGCAGTTCCCAGATCATGCCTGCCTTTGCCAAGGTTGGCTCCCAGTGAGAAGATTTAGGCTTTTCTCTCTCTTCACTGCAGCAGTCCCCAAGGGTATAGTGGTTTTGGCCTCGTTTTGCATCTTTCCACTGGAATGCAGCTGTGTGTAGTTGGAATTCTTACATATTCGTATCTTGTGAAATTAAGTTGCGTTTTCATTTTCTTACAGATTTTTAGCATTTAGTAGTGCTTTTATCAATAATGCTATTTAGCAATTGCACCTTCTTAAAATTTGACTGTAAAAAATCAGTAAGATGAAAGAACTTGATCATAAACAAAGTTTACCATTCAATCTTCCTTGTCCAAGCAGAGGTAAGAGCAGACAGTTGGGGTATTCTCAGCTTATTTCCTAATGAGAAACGGAGATGTTTTCAAATGTTACAGCACACTCCATACTGACTTAAATTCTCAGGCTCCTTGAAGCAAGTGATAAACTTTGTCTTGAAGGAAATCACTTTAATTGGTTTTTCAGATTTAATTTACTGCTGCTTCTAAATACGTAAAATAGATAAAATTAAACTGAAAATATTATTTTAAAGGTTGTTTCCCATGGCCTGTTAGCAAATGTGCATAATTTTCCACCAAAGTCTAAATGACTTTTCTGCTAGCTTCCTATATTAATTTTTAATAGAGAAGATTAAGCAGCCTGTGTAAGCAGCAGCCCTTTCCTCCCTCTTTTGTTTCTTGCCTTCCTTATGTAATATTAAAAGTCTGTGAGTATTGAGGAAAAAGAAATCTGCCAGAAAATGTTCTCTCTGCTGCCTTTTCTGCAGTGGAGCATTGTTCCTGAGACCTACACTGGGCACAGTTGCAAAACTTCACTTGGTGAGATGACCAAGAATTTCATTTGAGTATACCCTGAATATTGCCCAGCAACTTTTACTGATTGCATTACTTGATATTCTCGTTTGTGTTTTCCATTTAATCTCAAATTATATTAATTGATGAGTTTTGGGAGTGCAGCTAAATAGATAATTAAGGGTAGAAAACTTGGGGGAGATTGTGTGTCACCGTGTTCTGTAAATGACAGATCACATTGTATTAATGTGGACATATTTAATAAAAATCAAGGTTTCATCAGGTTGGTTTTGCTTGCAGTTTCAGTGCCAATTTGGTTCACCTCCTACTTTAAGGAATCAGCAATTTGGAAGCACTTTTTAAAACAAATAGGTAAAGACAGCTGAATTTCTCAGAAACATACTGGGAGCTTTTTAAAGTTTGTGAACCTAGATTTTTTTCTTTTTTTTTTCAATTTTATTTTACTTTTTGTCCCTTAAGATTTAAGTATCTTGTGTGAATTTTCATAAATATACAAAAAATTAAACATGGTTTATACTTGAACTGGATCATGGGTTGGAGAAATGGCGTAGAGAAGCAGCTCTGCAGCTGCTGTGTTGCAAGCATGAAGCTTATTCACCACAGCAGCTGAATATTAATTGTGGAGTGTCATTCCTCTTAGTCCATTTGATATATTCCCAGCTGGGGTTTTGTGAACTTCTGCCATGTGGAGCCTTTCTGGTAGTTCTGATGTCACAGTTCTCTGTCCTTAAATAAATATATTTTGATAGTAATTGCCAGTGTATTACCATAACTGTACTTACAGAACTAGCTATTTAGGTAGGTAGTTTTAGTAGAGTGTTTTAAGATTGTAATACTCACTTTAAAAAATGAGCAACCCACCCACGTTTAACAAGCATGTCAACTTTAACTTCATGCTTTCAATGGAAGAATAATCCAAAGCTGCGACTTTGCTGGTGATGGTAAGTTGGGGCGCTCCCTGCTGTTTAAAGGCAAAGTGGCACAATACACACGCAAAAGACATGGTATTGCTGCTAACTTTGTTTTCTGTGTCTATCCTTTAGCCTAAAGCAATTGGTTTGTTACTGTCCGTTTCACACAGTTTGTCTTACTAGCTTTTCATTTTAATCCTTTCAAAGAAACCAAACTTTTATCCAATGTTTAAATTCTTCTTTGCTGTTGTACAGGGATCTTGTTTTTATGGTAATTTAATAGAAACCTGATTTAAAAAATATGACTGTGTAACACCACAGTAGTTTCATTTAGTAGTTGTGTTTTGGGTTTTTTAATTAATTTATCAAACAGGTATCCTTTTTCTCAGCTTAAAAAAAAAAAAAAAAACCTTGCCCTGCTTTGTGTGTTTTGTTTTGTTTAAACCCCTCATTTAGCACTCAAAACTTAGTTTGCTCTTATCTGAACCAGTTTTCTGTTCTAACTGAACTTTTGGTGCATGGGAATCTTACTCTTCTATTAGATAAACACTTTTAAGGTTTTTACAGTAATTTGTGTATTTTGGTGCAATAAAAGTTTCTTAACATTTTGTTTCTTTGGCAGGTATTCATTCCATGGATTCCAGTTCTGGTTTTTTGAAAGTTACATACATTGTAAGACATGTTTCTTAAGTTAAAGGATTTTGATTTTTTCCTTGTGTATTTATAGGAATCTTTGCCTTTAAATGTGCCCGTGCAGAAGAGCTATTTAATATGTTGCAAGAGATAATGCAGAATAATAGCATAAATGTGGTAGAAGAACCAGTAGTAGAAAGGAATAATCATCAAACTGAGTTGGAAGCTCCAAGAACCCCTCGAACACCTACCAGTAAGTATGGTTATACTGTCAGATGACGTACCTGAATGTAATGTGGTGCTTAGCTGAAAATAGCATTTAATTTTCATTAAATCTTTAAGTAATTAAAAAGAAAACTAATTTAAAGCTAAGAGGCTAAGTACCAGTAATGCATTCTCTTGAGGTACTTGCTGAGGATTTTTTTAGGGAATCCTAAGTCTTGGTAACAAAACTGCCATACTCAAGTTCTTCAGCTTTAAGAAACAAGTTTTGGGAACTTGGTTGTTTCATAAGAACACTGCTTCACTGAAGCAGTGTTGCATTACAAAGCAATTCAATAGGTGTATGGGTATGAACACTGAAGCAGTGTTGCTTTATAATATGTCACCATATTTTACTTGCAGCATTTCTGAGAAATGTTAATGTTGGGTAATGTTCCAACCTTTTTATTAGGGGGAGAAAAGTAATGGTAATATCACATCTACAGTGGGTTTGTAATACTTATTTTGCTGTGAGTAGATAGATGGGTGGAGTCCTTTCAAAAATACCAGAGGATTTTAAGTAATCTCAGACAGATGGCTTGATATTTGAAACTAGGAATTCCAGGTTATTGATGATTTCAGAGAAATAGAAGCTTATTATTATGTGTACTGTTTGTTAAGGAGACATGTTAATGTAAAATGAGAAGTTGGATAGGGGGTTTACTGGGGGAACTATGATGTGTAATACACCTGGATTTCAGTGGTTGCTTCAGAGATTTTTCTCAGTAAATACTGGGATGCTGTACTCTCCAATTTGCTTTTCCTTTCCTCTCCCCCAGCAATTCCCCTTGTGACTGTTTAACATTGGTTTACATATTTTAATTTCTCCTTTGAAAATCGAAAATGAAGATACAAAGCATCTTACTCATATACAGTAAAATGTTCTATTTTAATATGGCTTTACTTGTTTTCTAATTGAATCAGCTCCTGGGTTCAATGCACAAAGTTTACCTAATGGCTATCCCAGATATCCATCTTTTGGAGATGCTTCATCACATCCTTCCAGCAGACATCCTTCTGTCGGAAGTGCACGCCTCCCCTCTGTTGGTGAAGAATCAACACATCCTTTACTTGTAGCAGAGGAGCAAGTGGGTATTTTTTCCTCTTATGTAAGTTAGGTTCTGCATTAGTTCAGATTTTTCTAATGCTTGCTCTTTAGGCTTTCATTTGTGTTTTTCAGTATAGGGTGTAACGTATTCCTACCATATATTAACTGCCTCAAAAAAGTGTTTGCTTTGCCTTTTTAAAATGACACTTTGTAGGATAGCTTGTGGAGGAAAGTAACTGCTTTAAGTTGCTCATCTTATATATTAATAAAGATAGAGAAAGTATGTATTGGCATATACTCAAAAATTTCAGTAAATATTTTTTACACCACCTGAGTTGTACTTTCTAATGAGAGATCTTGGTCAAGAAGCTGCTTTACATTTAAGTTTTCTATTTGCTGAATAGAAATTGTGGAATAATTTAGGTTAGAAGGGACCGCTAGAGTCCTCTAGATCAAATCTTAAAGTTAGAGGCAGCTGCACAGAGCCTTGTCCTGTCATGCTTTGAATACTCCAAGGGGATTCTACAACACTCTGAGCCAGTGTTTCACCACCTTTGTTATGAAAGCATTTCTCACTAATATGTCAATGGATTTTTTTCTTGTTACACCTGGTAACTCATTGCCCCTTAGCCTTTTGCTGAACAGCTTCCAAAAGGGTCTGGCTCTGTCTTTTTCTTTACCTCTTAGGAAGTTGAAAACAGCTTTTAGGTGGTTTTCTGGCCTTAAGACTGAACAAGGATGGTGCTCTGAAATTCTCCTTGTATGTCATGTGCCTTTCTAAACATGGCTTTCTACTGGACTTTTTCCAGTGTGGTGATGTCTGTCTTGTACCGGGGAGCCCAGATTCAGTCTCACAAGTGCTGGATTGACAGTAAAAATCACTTTCCTTAACCTACTGGGCTGTTCTTTTGCTAACACAAAGCAATGCACATTTGGTTTTCATTGCTGCAAGGGCACACTGCTGACTCACATTCAATTTACCATTCACCTGGACTGCCAGTGCTCTCCTGCAAGGCTGTTTTCAAGTTGGTGCCAAGCTTGTGGTATAGTTGTTGTTCCCTGCCAGGCACTGGACTTCCCATTTGCTGTTGCTGAACTTCATGAGGTTTCTATGAGGTCAGTTCTGCTGAGATCCCTCTCTACTAGTCTGGGATAGACTGAAAACTTCCAGAAGGGTGTGTTCTGTCTCCTCATTCGGATTGTTGCTGAAAATGTTAGTCAAGTTTAATAAAATTTGTGGTGGGATTTAGGAATATATGTATCACAAGAGCCAATGCTGGAAATCAGAGAAGGTAACTGGAACCAAGTGCAATGAAGCATCTTGTGGGAAGGATTTGTTAAGAGCCCCCACAGAAGAGTCCAAGTGTTGCTGTTGAAGCTGTTGAAGAGAAATGAGTTTAAGAGAAAGCAGTGAGTGTAGGAGTCAAGTGAGCTGTAAATAACACTTCAGCTTGTAGAGCTTGACAGAGAAGTAGGGACGGCTAGATGACTGCTGCTGTCAAATACTGCTTTTGCTGTTTGGGTATCCAGACACAGAATTAAAATTTAGAGAAGGAATCCATTACTCCAGTCATTCCCGTTCAGCCTTGTGTTGATCCACTGTGGGAACTTGGTATATTCCTGCCTTTCTTAGTGGCATTCAGTGCCAACTCCTTCTTGTTTCTAATTGAGTGCCACGGTTCATATGGAATTGTGTATTTTTCTCCATTAGTTTCTGGTTTTAGGAGACTGTTGGCTCTTGAAGAAAGAATGGACTGTTTTTCCAGTAGAGCCAACCTCTTTTCTCATTGCTTGAGTAGTACGCATGGCTTGATCCTAGGGGTGATGGGGTGGGTGGGTGTGTTAAGTTACATTTCCTTTGCAGTGTTGTAATTACGAAGATAAATTTATCCAAAGCAACTGTTGAACTGTTGGTCACTGTCATAGTGAGGGACAGCAGAGCTCACTGATTTGTTCGTTTGAACTAATGAGCTAAGTTGGAGCAGCTCAAGCTTGCCCTGACCAGAGCAGACCTGGAATAGAACATTAAAAACTTTAACTAGAGCAAAATTGAGGTAAAATACGAAATCAAAATAATCATTAGTGTTAGGTGTAAGTTCTATTCTTTTGTTAGAGTAACATCAACAAAACCAACAAGGAAAAAAAACCCTAAAGCAGCACAGTTCAGCAACATGTGAAAGATATGACATCTGCTGTTAAACAGCTGCTATCATGAGATTTGCTTTTCTGGTATTTTGATTAGAAAAGCAGGGACTTAGAAAGAAATTTGGAGGGGGAGAAAAGGCATGAATAGCATTTGAAGTTACTTGTTTTTTCTTCCCCTTGTAGGTGCACACTTACGTCAACACTACTGGGGTACAAGAGGAAAGAAAAAGTCGATCAAGTGTGCATGCGCCATTGGAATCAAAGCTTTCAAACACTGAAACAGCAAAAGCAAAAGAGGATCAGATGTGTACTGATGACAGAGATGCTCAGGTTCTCCTGGAGCCTGAAGGAGTCAAGTTTGTTTTAGGACCAACACCTGTTCAAAGGCAATTAATGGAAAGAGAGAAACTGGAGCAACTTGGGAGAGACCAAGTTAGTGGCAGCAGCACAAACAATACCGAATGGGACACTGGGTATGACAGTGATGAACGCAGAGAAACTCCATCTGGTAGTAAATTGGTGTATGAAAACATAAATAGGTTATCAATCCCTAGTGCCTCAGGGGTCAGGAGAGGTCGTTTGACATCAACCAGTACCTCAGACACCCAGAATGTTAACAACTCTGCTCAGAGGAGAACTGCGCTGTTGAACTATGAGAACTTGCCATCCTTGCCTCCTGTTTGGGAAGCCCGCAAGCTGAGTAGAGATGAAGATGACAGTTTAGGACCAAAGACCCCATCTCTAAATGGCTACCACAATAACCTAGATCCAATGCATAATTATGTCAATACAGAGAATGTAACAGTACCAGCAAGTGCTCATAAAGTAGAATTTACACGACGTCGGGACTGTACCCCAACAGTCTTTAACTTTGACATTAGGCGTCCAAGTTTAGAACACAGGCAGCTCAACTACATACAGGTTGACTTGGAAGGTGGTAGTGACTCCGACAACCCTCAGACTCCAAAAACCCCCACCACTCCACTTCCGCAAACTCCAACCAGGCGCACAGAGCTGTATGCTGTGATAGACATTGAAAGAACTGCTGCTATGTCAAGCTTGCAAAAAGCACTGCCCCGAGATGATGGTACTTCTAGGAAAACTAGACATAACAGTACTGACCTGCCTATGTGAGCCTGGGAAGCATTAAATCATTTGCACCTTTTGTGAAGTTTATAGAATTGAAGATGCAAGTATTTTGCATTTCTTAACACTAACGCCTTTTATAGACTAATAGAACTTTTTCTGCCTACTTCATGTACTTGTTTAACTAAAGGGAATTAATGTAGAGCAAGTATTCATTTAGGTAACACTATTTCATTCTACAGTAGTAGTAATTACTGCATAGCAGCATCACCACCTTTCACAGTGCCTCTTTAAATTGATTAGACTCCGAGTGACATGCCAGTTTTGAATTTATAAATATTCTGGTCTGGTGCCTATACTCGTTAATGACATTTATAACACTTTTTAAAGCCTCTTTGATATGTGCATTACTAGCAGGTAAACCTGATCTTTCAAAATACATATCTTGTGTTCATTCCTCATTGAAGTGGCTCCTCCAGAATGAAATGTATGTTAATGCATTAACTCACTCGGTTTGACGTACACAAGATATATTGGTTCATCTCAAAGGGTATAAACACCACACCTTTTTTGTCTTTTTTTTTTTGGTTTTGTGTTTGTTTTTTTTTTGTTAGTTTTTTTTTTTTATTAGACCACATAGACAAGAAGGCCTCTAATTCTGAAGTTTTCTTAACTTGTGTGATATTTGAGAGGTTACATCAAAGTTAGTTGATCAGAGCTATGAACACATCTAAACCCAGCCTTAAGCTCCTTCTGCTAGAAGAGAATTCACAGTGGTATATCAAGTTCCCTGTGAAATCTGACAACTTTAATCTCATTAGAGTTTGTTTGGGGTTCTTTGTGAAGGAATTCACATATTTGCTATATGAATTAAGGCTCTCTTGTCATTTCTTAGTTCAGTGTGCCTTCCTTCCTTTGCATTTGTGTGTTTCTTTTTTACCTGTTCCATAATGTCTTGTTTTTGAAGGTCAACATTTTGTACATAGCTTTAATTATTGTTCAGGGTCATTATGTGTTTGTCTTACTCTCTGCATTTGACAAAGAAAGACTCTTGAAGGTCAAATGGTTGTCTTTGTCCAGTGTTCTACGTTTTTATGCCTGACAGAGATATCCCAGTTCTCCAGCAACATGCATGATTGCACAACTGGAAAGGTTTATTATGCAGTTATTGTCTTCCTCTAACGCATCAGTCACAGGTTACACGGGAGGCAGGGTACTGGACTCGATAGTTCTTTATAGAAAATTGTACATCCTAGCAGTGTGCATCCATAGTTGATAGTATAATTTAGAAAGATATGTAGTGAATTATCTGAGGGTAGTATTATCTACGAGCATACTTCTTTTCCTTTTGCAGTTGGTGAACTTGGTTTCAGTGATGGCTGCTTAGTGTAACAGGTACATCCAGGTAGAATGTTGTTTGTTGAATATGCCAGATGCACCCTTAGCAGAAGTTCTTTGTTTTGTTGTTTTTCTAATACTCTGAATAATGTTAGAATTCTGGCAGTATTGCAGGTGCACCTTGGTACTAGCAGCAGAGGAGATTAATCTTGAGCCTGTGATTGCAAAGGAAATGACACTTCTGTGAACTGGTGTGATATAAAATAACCCTTAAACTGTGAGTGAGAAAAACATGCAAGAAAAGCCATTTGGAGATATGTAAAATAGTTAAGGTTCTTCATGCAATATTTGAATTCAAGTTTTGTAACAAACAAACTACGATTACTTTCTGTCTTTTAAATTGGAGTGTGTTCCCTGTTCCTTTGTTAACTTTTTCTTTGGTCTTCTCTCACTTTACTAGTGGCAGCACTAATAGCACCTGAAACACGTGTCTTGTCACACCATTAACGGATACCAGGCAACCTTTACACTCTGACTGTCATTGTTTTTTACAGACCGTATGGTACTGAAATACCAGATGCACAAAGAAAATAATTTGCAGAAGTAAAATATGGGAGTCATTGAGATCATTGTGAGGAACTTAAATGAGATTTAAAAAAAACACTTTGTTAATAATTTCATGGTCAACCCATGCATGCTCTTGTGATAGACGTGTTGACTTGTGGGGAGACCTTGGTACTCAAGAAGGTCTGGAGTGAAACATTTTACAGGTCTGCAGTGCTAGTGCTCCTTCACATCTTTGCCATTGCCTCACCCTATGCTATGGACCAGTCTTGGTCTATACGGAAGAGAAATTACCAGATATTGCAAAACAAGTAGTAGGTTAATGATACTGGTGTAATTCTGGCTCTTAGCTTGGAGCTCACTTTAATTTGTGAACTGAACTAAGGCTTCAGCATGTGTTTAGAGGCAAGTGTGTTTGATCTAACCAGCTGCCTAGAAATACTTGGTTCTCATCTGTATGGTGTGGGTGTTTCAGAAATACTAATTAATTGGACCTGTGAATAAACACACCCTTGAGGCAGGGAGACAGTATTCTTAGTTGACAAATAGGGGAACGGAGACTTCAGGTAGATCCTGAGTGACCTGTTGCAATTACAGCCACCAACCACGTCCCTCCTTAGTTCTTGTGTGCTGGCCTATGTTTATTCTGGTCTCAGATACAAGGGATGCTCAGAGTATTTTTTTTTAATGTTGCAAGTTTCACAGTACTTTATAGGGGTTGTTTTCTTAGCTCTAGTCCCCAGAATTGAGAAATTTCAACTTTCTGTAACCTTAACTATATTAACAAGTCTGACATATTTGCCAGGACTATTTTTTTACCCTCTTAAATTTTTCAGGTGGGATAATGCTTTCTTGTTTTGTGTGCACTGCAGACATACTGGGTAGTCCCCATTACCCATGCTGCTCATTTGTAGCACTCCTTATTTTCTTCCCCTTGAAGTAGATATAGTTGCAATGCACTTTACCCTTTGAGACTTAGTAAATAGTTTTTCAATTCAGTCTCTTCAAGGCTGTGATGTTAGGTTTAGTGTCTGTAATCTAGGATTCAGTTTTTCAGCTGAAATCTCTCCACAGTATTTAGGTCATATTTATTTTGGGCCCACAGGTGTGTAGACTGAGAAACTACAAATATGTAACCATTTTCTGTAGTAACCAAGCCATGTTAAGTTTACATAAACTAGATCCTGCAAAAACGGCAACATCTCCATCAGTTATAATTCCCATCCATAACATGCAGTTGGCCTCTACCCTTTAAGCACATTGGACAAGGGAAAGCCTTTAACTGTAGGTGTTCCTTTAATGCAGTGATTTGGGAAAGACATACATTAGAGTATCTCTTAAACAAAGAAAAAACTGAGTTGACAAAGATGAAACAGTGACCAAAAGTACATAATAAAGATTGTATTAGAAATACAGTTAGTGAGAATTTAATCCATTGATTATGTCAGGAAAGTATTTTTTTCCCAAATTGATGTCAAGAGAAGGACCAATTTTTAAAAATTTTGTGGTGTTTCTTGGTGATTCCATAAAAAAATATAAGCCAGACCATTCTGAAAACCTTAATTCTCATTAGAACAGGTTTTGTTTCCCTGGATAAGTAAGTTTCCAAGGGAAAGCACTAATCCCGTTCCTACTAAAAGTCTACAGAAATTTTATAGAAATGTTAAGTGTTCAAAAATACCTTTCATATCATAAACTGCTTATTTCCCTTCTCCCTGAGATGTTTGGATATTTGTGTGTTTTACCCCTCTGACCAGGATTTGGGTGTAAAAAGGGCCACAAAAAGGTGCAAACTGTATGGAGTCTGAGCCAGTGTCAAAAAAGGGCTGCTCTTCTGTAGGTGACAGACCAGCAGTTGATTTTGCTGGTTTTATAACTGTGTGTATTGACTCAAAATCTGGCTGTCCTTGCTTTTGTTTTATACTTAACCACTTCTCATTGAGACAGGATCAGGAGAGAGCAGATTGTCTTTACTCACTGTTGGTGATGCAAAAATGCGAGTTCTGATTAATGTCAGTTACTTCTTTAAGCGTGTAATGATGTATCTGATTTGGACCTCTATTTCTAAACAGTATTTTACATGTAAGGTGGGATCAATGGTGAAATTCCATTTCTACACTGTACTAATTTATTTAATGGCTACAAATAAGATGAAGCTGATTTAGTAGGAACTAATTGTGGACTTAAATCTGAATTTCTCCCATTTCCCCTGAAGAAGTTCGGTTCTTCAGTGATAGATAGAATTAGGTATTTTTGGAATTTAGTACGATCTTTCCCATCTTTTCCCTGAGGTAGCAATTCAGGCATTTATATTTGACAGTATTTACTTAATATAAACATAAGTTCATTTATGATGTCTTTATTTTAAATTCATATACACTCCAAAAAAAGTCAGAAGAAATTCCACCACAAAAAACTGCGTTAAGATGGAGTCAAGGTTCCTGATGTCCTTCGTGTAGAGCATATACAAAAAAGATGGGAAAGTCACCAGTTAAGTCATCAGTTAAGGTTCTTTTCGCAATCTTTAGGAATTACTTCCTCTTCAGGACAAGATAAGTGAATAAGGAGGAAAAAAACCCTCAGCTTAGCAGCTGTAACTCTGACCATGTATACATTATGTCTTGTGATACCGTGCTGTAAGGTATGTGACTAAGTCTTTCAGATGTCTTATTAGGATATTAGCCATTAAAACATGGTGTTTACTCCAGATTAACGCGGTGTTTTGTTTTGAAATATGTAGGTGTACAGATAGAATATGAGAGATGAAGTTACCTTCAAAGTTGATGAAACAAGTGTTGGACATTTCTATATTTTTAGATACTACAACGGGCATTTTGAAAATTTTCTTGCAGTTTTAATAATTATTTAGTGTGGTTGCATACATATATTGTGACAATGTTTTCTGCTATATCCATTACTTTGGTGTAATTCTACTTTATGTAGCGAATATGTGTATATACAAAGGAGTTTATGTAAAAAAGATGATTAAGAAATAGGCTCAAGCCCTTCAGAACAGGGACTGTCTTCCTCTGTGTCTGCAAAGTACTTCATGCCTTGGTCTCACAGCCACAGCTCACATCTGAGACCCCTGGTGACCTAATTGCCAAGCAGTGAGTGTGGAGGAGCGGCTCTTCTGCTTTCCACGAGAAGCCTTGGTACAAAAGGTGCCGTGAAACTCACCTTGCCACACGCTGGGGCTGTGCTGTACGTGGTCATGCCCAACACCACCCGCCAACCAGAATGCCCAGAGTCCATGTCTCTGCTTCAGTCCTTCCCTTTGGCAGTAGGAAAGGAAGTCTGAGGTAGGAGCTTTGATGTCATCAGGGAATCTTCCTTGTTTGCAGGGTAATCCTTCTGGAGCTTGGTCAGGCCTCATGCAGTGTCCTTTGAAGCCAAACACGTGATTTGCATTGACTTCAAGGGCCACTGGACGTGCTCCTGCAAGATCAAGTTCTGCTGACGTAACAGCTCTGTTACACCTGAAGACCTGGTTGGTCAAGTTCTTCAGGAAAGGTCTAAAAATACTGTAAAAATATAAATATATTTAATAACAAGTACTGAAAAAAAAATCCTATTTGTTGTGGTCAGAGTTCAGATTATTATGTGAATTTTGATTTCTTAGTCATACTGGCATATATATTGCTTTAACTATTATGTATGAAAGAGGAAGTGATTCTGAAGTGCGTGAAAGATCAGGATTACACCTGTTTTGTAATGGTTGTATTAGTTAGGAATGGATGTCAGCACATCTAACTCCATATTAATGCAGTTTTTTTGCATTAGAATGTGTATATCATACACCCACATTTTATATATAATATGTTATATGTTTGGTACTAACTTTGTATTTTCCCTGAAATTTTGCCAAATCTCGAACACAGGTGTTCTCACTTGTAACACTTTGGTACTTAATAACTGAATGTATAAGAAATGCTCTGGTATGAAAGGAAAGAGTGTTGTCTGGTGTCCCGCAATACAGATGTCTGAACCAGCAGGCCCGTTGCCTTTTTCGCATCTCGCTTTGCTGCAATGTCATCACCTTTCACCTCCTGACAAACAGGCTGTGTTTTAAACTCAACTGCAGACCTGCCATTACAGTTGGATACTGCGCTCGCACAAAAGCTGACTGGTAGTAGTGAGAATACAATAGTCACCAGCGTGCCACAAATGCATTTATTAAATGCAGAAATAGACACTTCTACAAAGGCCAAAATCTTATGTTGTATGTTCTTTTCTTGTCATTACATTGTATGATATTGTAAGATTATTGTATGTCCTAATTTGCATTATAAAATGTTTTTTCCTACTTAAAGGCATAAATATAGCAACTTTGTATAAAGGTAGCTTTCTAGATTTTTATTTCTTTTATATAAAAAAGTCTAAACAGTGGGAGTACCATTGCCAAATTGTTTATAAAATTTCAATTAACTTGCCCTGTTCAGTGAATTTGCTTTTACAAACATTCCGTATTTCTTTTATGAAAAAAGTGATATTATACTATGCAGAAAAGAGTGTATTTTTATGCCATTCCACATTTATCTTAAAAAGAAATTAGTTTCACTTGTCTGAAGCTGTCATTTCTGAGGAAGCTTACCAAATGCACATTTTTTACATGTATCTGTATTATGACAACATTTTCCCCTTTACCAGTGCCAACTTCATTTGGAAAAAAAAGAAAAAAGGTAGCATGGCAATAAACTATTGATTTTTATGGAAAATGGCCTGTGGATTACTTTAGGATTTCCCAGTGTCAGTGTTGCTTATTGTATTTCGTTAGGATCACTTTTGTTGCTTTTCCTTAACTCATTGCTTCAGTTCCACTTCAGTTTAACTTGTTCCACTTGCATACCACTCATTGCTCAGTGGTTGAAAAAGAAACTAGAATATGCTAACGTGGAGTCTGTGAATTTTTCTCCGACATTTGTTTCACTTCTACTGCTGTTCTGTCACATCTTTCTCATGTATGTAGACTTAGATATCTTTGTTGTTGTTGTTGTTATGGTAGTACTGTTGCTGTTGACTACTGGCTGGTGAATCATGTGCTAGCAATTCAGGTGTGCTCCTGTCTTAGCTACAAAGTGCCTGAGATACCACAGAACCCCTATGGGCTTTGCTGGGATAGTACTGATAAATTCAGAAACAAAGTAATGAGAACATACAAAGTTGAAGTCCTGTCCAGAAGGCCTTGTCACTTTTTTTCAAAGTTCAGTATTTCCTCTTTTCTCCCCAGTCACTGTTTCAAGGCATATTGTTAATGGTTTCTGGTCAACAAATGACCAAAACCCTAGAAATATCAAGTGATGTTTTGTTTTCAGAACCTCTTAAGCAACAACATGTTGGTTAGGAAACTTAGCTGAAAACTCAGTTCTCAAGAAGATCTTCATAGTTTTGCAGCTTTCCTAATGGGAATGGCTGCTTAGCAGTTCATGACACTTAACATTTCATAATAAGGTGATACAGAGTTCAGCAGAAACTCTGGTTGTTTTTATCTTCATTTCGAAGAGGAAAAAAGCTTCCCAGAGATGTTTGTGCACCTTTCCTGATGTGATAGCAGGTAAAATATATGCAGTTAGACAACTTAATTTCTAGCAATATTATGACTAAAACATAATGCAGCTGATGTGATTCCAATTAAAATATGCATATGTCTCACGTCCTTGAGCTAATGATGCTTTGTTCTGAAATAAAATTTTGAAGCCAGCTCAAGATAAGGTGGCATTGAGCAGCCAAACATCAAAGAGCCGACCTTCCAGCTGTAGATGCCTAGGGCTAGGATTTCCAGTAATGCTATAAAATGGCCTTGTTAAAATCCCTATACATAAATCAACAGTAATATATCTGTTTATTCTCTGTTGGGAGCACCTGAAGAGTTGGATTTTGTGGAGAGTCTCTGTCTTCCTTCCTCCCACCCTCAAAATCCTATCTGCTTAGAGGCTTAACTGACTGGCCTGACGTGAAGTTAAACCTGAAACTAGATGCTGTGATCAACGCCTCAGTTACTAGTCCCAGAGAAACCAGAGAGCGGTTGCTGTTCCACTACTCCTCCTACATCATTAATAGCTCGGCTATAAGCAGGAGGTCTCCATCTGAATGAAAACACTAGCAGTAGATACTGAGACACGTGGAGGTCTGGTTGAGAGTTCATCCCTGAGCAACCAAGCCTGTGCTTTGCTGATCTGTGCAGTGTGTCGAACGGTCCTTGGGGCTGAAACATGCTCTGTTTTTTAACCTTGAAAGAGAGATGAGCGTATTTACAAAGGATGCGGGTTTACAGAACCATTACAATGAGGCAATTTTTTCCTTCACTTATTCACAGTATGACCTGAAAAATTGCCATTGGCACAACAGAGGTGACAGCACTGTGCAACTGGAAGTGAGAGGCAGGAAGAAAACTAGTGTGGATGCTGGGCTGTTCCTATTCTGGTGTTGCTTTTACGCATTAAAACATAGCTTAGCAATAAGCAAAAGCTCCTTAAACCAAACTTAAAGGTTTGCTCTAGTAAGTTTATCTATGAGAATCTGATCTTCCAAAGGCCACAGCTCAATTCTCTGAGGCACTGAATTTGTTTTTTAATTTTTTATTTTATTTTTCTTTTCACAGGTCCCACCTCAGTAGCAGCAAATGTGAATGAAAATGAATCATTAGTTCAGTGCACATCTTTAGAAACGCTCTAATTCTGAGATAAAAGCACTTAACATTGTTTTAGTTGGATGTTAGCCCTAGCCAAAACATAAGATATTTTTGTACATAACAAAACCGAGGAAAACTGAAGATACTAGAATTCAGTTGGCACTCTAGTTTCCAGAACAAGGTTGGGGCGTGGGAGAACTTACCTAACAAAGCGAAAAGCCCAAAGAACTCTAGCAAAATACTAACAAGATGTTGGCATACTTAAAACCATAGATAGATGTGAAAGTCGGTAGAGATTTGCTGTCTCCATTGGGATAGGTACCTACTGTCTTGGGCCAGTTTGAATCTAGAAAAAGAGATTTCTATCTGGCAGCAGGAAGAGGAATAGCAGCTGGAATTGATTCTTGAGGAACAAATCACACAAAGCAATTCACTTTTTTTCTTAGTAACTAACCGGTAACTAATGGGCTTAATTGTGGAGGAAAAGCAGCAACAGAACAAGGCTTGGATGTGGTCTCGTGTCTGTAAAGCTGTTACGAATTTTTTAATACTGAAATGACCCATGAACCATGGTTTGGGTTGGAAGGGACCTTAATGCTCATCTAGTTCAAGCCCCCCTGCCAAGGGCAGGGACACCAGACCAGGTTGCTCCAAAGCCTGTCCAACCTGGCCTTGAATGCTGCCAGAGATGGGGCATCCACAGTTTATCTGGGCAGCCTGTGCCAGAGCCTCAGCACCCTCACAGGGAAGAACTTCTTTGTAATATTGAATCTGAATCTGCGCCTTTCAGTTTAAAGCCCCTTGTCCTGTCACTACATACCCTTATAATGTATTGAGTGGGACTGTGCTGGGGTTGTCTCCCATTCACTACTTTTAATCGGTGATCTGCATGATACAACAGCAGGTATCCCGGACAGGCTGGCAAGGTCACTGGAAGACAGGAGCTGCTAATTTGAAATACTTCTGACCAGTTTGAGCACTGGGAGTATGATGAAATTAAAATAGGGAAGCTTCTACCTCCTTCGGAAGGGCAGAAATAACTCTGCGCAGAAATACAGTGCCCAGATGGCAGCGCTTCGGAGAAAGGGTGCTGCGGGGCACTGCCAGGCGAGCCCGTAACAGGTGCTGCCGCGCAAGACGCGGCCTTAGCGCGGGAGGGCAGCAGCATGGCTTTAAGTCGCGTAAGTTCTTAAAACACCCGGAACCACCCCCCGGCCACACCCGCGCCGTGCTTTGCCTTGCACAGCCACTGGGGGCCGAATCCCAGCCTCCTCCTCCTGAGGGGGGGAACGACTGCGGCTCCCAGCGTGCCGCGCGCCGCCGGAAGCGGTGGCTTCTCTGACGCCAGTTCCGGCAGGAGATCGTGGGGGCTGTGGGTCCGCGCGCTGGTTCTCTGTTGGCAGCGGCTGTTGGCGGGGTCCCGGTCGGCGGCAGCACCGGCACCATGGTGAGCTCGCGGCGGGGCGGCGGTTCGGCCCGCCCGGTGTTGCGCGGCGCGGCTGAGCGGGGCGGAGCGGAGCGGAGCGGCGGGCGCACACTCCCCGCAGACACGCGTGCAAGGGCCCGGCGGCCGCGCCCCTCTCCCGCGCTTTGTCCGGCCCGGCGGCTGAGGCGGTCGCGTGGGGGCGGCCTCGCGCCCTGCCCCGTGCGCGGCTGGCGGGGAGGGAGGTGAGAGGAAGAGGAGGCGGCGGCGTGTTGGGCATGGAAGGTTCTAGAGCGCGCGCGAGGAGGGTCCGTGAGGGCGCGGCCGGGCCGGGCCAGGCCGGAGGGGGGCGGGATACGGGTCGAGTCCCGGTCTGCTCTCGGCCTTCCCAATCACCCCGCAGGAGAGGGGCTCCGGGTCTGCTCGTGCCCTGAGCCCGCGGCGCGGCTGCCGCCGTGGAAGCCTCTGCTTCTTCCTCGCATCTCTCAGAAAGCCCCGAGAGGCAGCAGAGGCCCCGAGCGTGAGCGGCCGCTGTCGATCGCCGGCCGAGGGCTGCCCTCCCGTTGTGTGGGGCCTCCTACCGCAGCAGCGTTTTCATTTTTGTTGTCAAAAGCAGTGATGTAACGGGCACTTTGCGTAGCAAAAGGGGTGAGCTTGCTACACAGCAAAGTAAAATGTCGCCGAACTCCCTTGTTTTCGGATTTGGTCCTACTCCAGTTAATGCCCTGAGTTCCTTGAAAGCATTGGTCTATAAAGGAGTCTGTTCATTACTGCTGTAATTAGTTTGCGTGGGAATGCAATAAAGTGATAGGGCTCAACACAAATATTGAAGACCCGACATGGTTAGTTAACGAGATTCTTTTAGGTTCTGCTCGTGGTGCCTGTCTTTGGATGGTTTGAGTCTGACAGCCATGCAGAACAGGACCATGAAGTAAGGTTCTGGTAACAGCCTTCCAAAGGAATATGGGGTACAGTCTCTAAGAGCAGATTGCAGTCGATCTTGTAATCTTCATGTGATTGAGATTGCAAGGTAGATTTAAAGAAAGAGTCAAAGTGAATTTGTCCTGAATATACCTTTTATCAAAACCAAATGGGGTATGGAAATAAATAATTGCAGTAATTGTTTAGGTTGTTAGTGCCAGGAATTTGTTTCTAAAATGCATAGTGTTATTAAAGCTAAAGGAATATTCTTATGTTAACTCTGCTTTAGGCATCCCTTTCCCTTGCTCCTGTGAACATTTTCAAGGCAGGCGCAGATGAAGAAAAGGCAGAAACGGCTCGGCTTGTAAGTTTAAGCCTCTAAGAAACTGGTAATACTTGGGGTAGTTAAACCATGTCTTTTCTACTGTTAAATGTGCTTTCAGTTTTTGGTGATGTGGAACTTAATCTTTCTCTTACTGTTTCTTTCTTGTTGTATTTCTGTGAACAGACGGAAAGAGGAGTGTTGTTCATGCTGATAATTACAGAAACTCCTCATAGTTCAGAAACTAAATAAGTTTAGCTCAGGAGGTTGGTGTTCATTGAGAGGCATTTCTCTTGCCTATGAGACAGGCTTTTATGGTTTCTGTGGGAATTCAGTATATTTGATCTGGTTATAAAAATGTATCAGTTCAAGAAACTTCACCCCAGGCTCTGCTGAAAGAAAGTGTGCTGTGGAAGGGTTGGGTTAAGATGTCACCTTGCAAATTATGGGCTAGCATATAATTCTTGCGTTAAAGTAGAAGTAAGTCATTCTCTAAGATATATTTGCTTTCATTTCAGTCGTCCTTTGTTGGTGCCATTGCTATTGGTGACCTGATCAAGAGCACTCTGGGGCCTAAAGGCATGGTAAGTCAGCTGCAAATTCTCAGTAGTCATACCTATTAATTTAGTTTTAATAGTTGCAGTACATTTTGAAGTGGTATTCTAAATCTTGCGTCTTGTAGGACAAGATTCTTCTAAGTACTGGGAGAGCTAGCACAGTAACAGTTACCAATGATGGTGCAACCATCCTGAAAGCTATTGGAGTTGACAACCCAGCTGCCAAGGTCTTGGTTGGTGAGTTTTTAACAGCTTGTAATTGCAATACTTGGCATTTTTTTCATTTGTAACTTTGTTATTGCAGGGTTTTTTTGTGCTTAGAATTAACTTTTCTTAAATAATATGAAAAATTGAAGTAGGGGCAGGGGAGGGAGGCAGAATTCCTGAAGTAAGGAGGCCAGGGTGTGGCAAGAATTGTGGAACTCTGCAGAAGTAAAATTGAGGTATATGCTGCTCTTGCAAAACTGTTCTGGTGTCTCGTTTTCCCTCAGCCCTGGTTTGTTCCAGGAGTCAGAGAGACAAAAGAAAACTGTGTCCTTCTTTTTCACTGGGAAAGTTTGAAACAGAAATCTACTGGAGTACAGAGGATCTCTCAGGTTCTCCCTGATGTAAATCTCTTTTTATCACTTAATCAACGTTGTACTCTGGACAGTTTACCTTTGTAAAGGACTGTCTTAGCATGCCAGTGGTCCACTTTTAGTTTCAAGCAGGACACTGAACAACTAATTCAGTGTTGAGTTTCTTAATGGTTTCATGTTTGCTGGGTCCTTCTGTATCAGTTGTTCATGCAGCCTACATGGCTATTGTATTCTCTGATCCAGTATGGATACCTTGGAACTTCTGTCCGGCCTTGCTTCCTTTTAATGACTATGTTTAGGAATAGGGAGAGAGGGGGATAGCTCTTGACCATCACCATGCTGGAACTGGTGTCTAGGTTGCAAATAAAGAGCAGGAATTTGGAGGATGCTGAATTTGATATGCACAGGTTTTTCTGTGACTTACAGAGTGACCTTTTTAAACTATCAAAAAATAAGATTCTTTTTTCTTCAAACAAATGTGAAGTGAAAGTAATTGTATCTGAATCTGGTACTGGTGAGCGTGGTATTTTGAATCAAAAAATTACTGCAGAGATTTCCTCCTTCAGACATGTCAAAGGTTCAAGATGATGAAGTTGGCGATGGGACTACGTCTGTCACGGTGTTGGCAGCTGAATTACTGAGGGTGATGTATTACAGTTTTTCATATGTGTTTCTGTTTGGCAGTGTGCTCCTGTGGTGTCAGTGCGAGGTGTGGTGTTTGATGTTTATGAAGAGGGCTCCCTAAGTATAGGAATACCTTGCTCCATTGCCATTGAAATTGATAGGGGGAAAAAAACAATTTAGGTATTGTGTCATCAAATATATATAAAAAATATTTTAAACTATATTCCTTATATTACTGTTGACAAATTCACTAGTATTTTAATTTGGTACATTTTAGAAAGTTATTTTCTCTTCCTTTAGTATATAAGTGAAACAGTGAAGTATCTCTCACAGGTCACTTCTTGGATGTCGCACTGAGCAGCGTGCAGCACTGCTTAGTTGTGACATTCACTCCTCTGAAATCCTTTTCCATAGCATCATTGAGAGAGAAAAAAAAAAAAGGCATGTTAAATTCTGTTCTTGTGTGCACAGGACTTGAATTTATCTTTTAATTTCTTCAAATTATTATTTAAATAATTACTATATTTCCTTAAATTATTATTAAATTTCCTTAAATAATGTTCCTTTAAATTCTGTATGGTTTTCATATTTACATAAAATCTTATACTGCCAAACTCTAAATTCGAAATTACTATGAAAGAGACTTCAGAAGTGAGGAATTATTGTTAGCAGAGATGTGCCAGTAAATCTAATCATCTCAGATCCAGAAGCTGTGATCAAAAACATCAGAGAAATGATCCATCAGCTTGCCAAGTTCCTCTCAAAAAGGGAGTTAGAAGATGTTTGTTTTTCCAACTACACTTTAAATTGCAGCTTTAAGTGAACAGGAAACTGATCTAAAACATGAAGCCAAAGATAGTTATTTTGAAGTCTATGTCTGGTTGTTTTTTTTTCATTAATCAAACTTCAGTATTCCAAGGGCAGATTGTATTTGCCTAGATTGGAAATAAAGCTGCCAGTAGGGTCACTTTCATTTCATTGTTACAGCTCTCTGGTTTTCACTGCCATTCAGAATTTTCTTATTACTTGGAAGTGTCTTTCATAGTTAGTGACACTAAGTGTACCTTGGGAGAAAAAAAAATGATTATTTATTTCATTTAAATAGGAGGCAGAATTACTGATTTCAAAGAAGATTCATCCTCAGACGATTATTGCAGGCTGGAGAGCAGCCACAAAAGCTTCAAGAGAGGCACTTTTGAAAGCAGCTGTGGATCATGGGTTAGTAATGTACATTCGCTGTAGGTCTTTATAAACCAGTCAAGACTAAAACATCTCTAAGAATTATATACCACTGCGAAGTTCTTTGCTTTCTTTTAAGTAGTGTGAAGGCTGAATTTGTAAGTTGTAACAGTTAAGAAAGGCTTTTTGCTTTTTTTTTTAATAAGCTGCTTTATGAAATGATTTAAAATTAGTTATGATGTGCAGAAACTAAATACAAGGAGTAAGTTGCTCCTTAGAACAAAAATGTGAGCTGTTACTTCAGATTTTCTGCTCTGATTTTAAATGTGACTGTTTTCTTTACCCAGCACTTTGAGAGCACAGATTTGCTAAAGCTGAATGCAAAGATTTTCCTAATTGAAATTTCAAGTGCAAGGTTGTATTCTGGGACACTGGCAGGATTCCGAGTATCATTTCTCAAAATGGAACATGGTGTACGTAGACACAGGCAACAGGAAGCGGGGAGAGACTTATGGTGATAGGTTAACGATAATTAAAGCTTTCAGACTTTCCACTTTAACTGTACTGCCTTTATTTTAGTGATGATGAAGTGAAGTTCCGTGAAGATTTGATGAACATTGCAGGAACAACCCTTTCATCCAAATTACTTACTCATCATAAAGATCACTTTGTCAAGTTAGCTGTAGAAGCTGTCCTTAGGTTGAAAGGTTCTGGTAATTTGGAGGCTATCCACGTCATTAAGAAACTTGGTGGAAGTTTGGCTGATTCCTACTTGGATGAGGGTAAGTCTGTGTGTTGGCTGAAAGCATGCTTGAGAAATTAAGCTGTCAAATTTGTTCTAGGAAACATTGCTATGTTATTATTAAATTGAATACTAAATATGAGGGGGATTTTTAATAATTTAAATTAATTGCTCTCCTTTTTAAGTCTTACAAGGCCTCTCTGTTACTACAGGCTTTTTACTCGACAAGAAGATTGGTGTAAATCAGCCAAAAAGAATAGAAAATGCAAAGATTCTAATTGCAAATACTGGTATGGATACAGACAAAATTAAGGTATGGGACTCAGCTACTGTTGTGAAACAATTTTTTTGTAAATTGACTTTATTTTTAGACTGAATTCTTTGGTTTCTTTTATTTAGATTTTTGGCTCTCGTGTTAGAGTGGACTCTGCAGCAAAAGTGGCAGAAATAGAACAGGCAGAAAAAGAAAAAATGAAGGAGAAGGTTGAGAGTATTCTGAAGCATGGCATAAACTGCTTTATTAACAGGTATGTCCTTTCTTGGAAAAAGGGGAGAGTCACAAAGTTGTACAAGTGGCACTGTTTTCCACAGAAGCAAAAACTTACTCTTTCAAGACATGGTGCCTCTTATAACTCACTTTATAAATCTGTGTCAAACATCTGTAAGAGCCATTGACAGACCGATGAATCTTACAGCCCCTCCATCTATGTCATGTTTCACACACATTGCATTCTTCTTCAGGCAAAATGAATACTCTTTCCATTGAACATGGTAGAGATACAGAGTCCTAGAGTCAGGAGTCCTGTTGGTAAATTGATGGAAGAATCCTTTGAAGTATTCAGAAAATCCTTAGCTCCACTGCTGCTATCCAGTATGCTTGTAACATGGGTAGTTGCCCTAAGGAAGCTCAGGTAGCATCAGTCACTGTAACCAGGCTAGTGGTGCTGCAGTTAGATTGACTTTTGACTTTCAGATTTATTCCCTGATAAAATTGACTTCTTATACTATAGATCAGCATCACATCAGATACTGTAAATGTTAGCCAGTTAATTACCCCTGAGGATATGTGTGATAAAGGCCAAGGCCATATGGTTCTGGGGTAGAAGGTGTTTTCTCCGTGTGTACTCAGCAGTGTCATTTGTCACTTTGAAGGTAGATTAGAAACACCTTTCTTGCTGGAGATGACATCTCACAGCTCCTGCTGAATTTCTACAACACTCAGTCTTTAATTAGGAATGGAAAAATAATCTGGCGTAGCTCTCCTCAGTGGGCATTGGCCATTGAACTTCAGGTGGCTGCTTTGTTAAGATGCGGATATGTATTAATAAGGGAACATGTACTCTTCTCTGGTCTACTATTTGTATACGTTACAAGATTGTTGTTCCCAGATTTGTAAACTGTTTGGATTTTGTATTGGTGAAGGAATTAAAGACATTACTTCACATGTTCTAGTGCACCCTGCTAGAATAGGCAGTCAAGTGCTCAGCAGGCACTTTGGATCAAAGGACTTAGTATTTAAAGCGTGTGGGTCCTTGTGCTTAGTGTGACAGTGTCTTCAGGGAAGGGTATTTCAAAAAGCTTTGAGGTTTGATTTTTTTCCCTTTTTTTTTTTCTTAGCTTTGTGTGTTTTTCCGTCAGTGCATTTGCTTCTGTGTGGTGTAACATTCCACGTGTGGTAGGTGTCTCAAATGTTGACTGCTTTTGTAGTTTTCAGAAACCTGTTGCATGACCATGCTACTGAGAATCAGGTGTCCTTTTGTTACACTGGTTTTCTCGCGTGGGTAACTGGAGGATGTGTCTGTGTTCTAATTGTAGGCAGTTGATCTACAACTACCCTGAACAGCTCTTTGGAGCTGCTGGCGTCATGGCTATTGAACATGCGGACTTTGCTGGTGTTGAACGTCTGGCTCTTGTTACAGGTTTGTGGAGTATCTTGCATGAAACTTGAAAGGGCGCATTATTTGTTTGACCTTTAGTAAATGTTAATGTGTGATCACTTAATTGTAGTTTTTATTATTAAGCAGATTTGTGAATATGAAAAGTACTCCAAATAAGTTTTATTTTATAGATCTTTAAATACAATACAAAATTGGCCATAAGTAACTTTGAAATTACGCTGTTGATTTATCAACTCCTATGTAACTGTCAGTATTTTTTTTTTAGAAGCAGGTAACTCAGTTTCTATATTTAGTATGTTATACTTTACCCATAAACTGTCTGTTTTGATTCTGATTCCTTCCTGCATAATAATTTAAACATACCTTTTTTTTCCATAGTAACTGTGAGTAAAGGATCATAATGTGAACTGTGGAATTTCATTTATCCAGATAGTAGTGCCAGTTAGTTATTTTCTTTCATATTTTAAAAATACTTTCAGTTAAGTCTCTGCTTGATAAGCTTCTGAAATACTTGTTTTCTAGAGAAAAGGTGAAACTTAGCAATAGAAAGAATAAGAAGATGAATCCACTAGTTAATGAATGCCATCTGGTTATAAATATCTGTTGTTTGATTGTAATAATGGTCATCCCTTGTTAAAAATGTGGGCCTGAGTTATCATCTTGAGGCGGACCTCAAATAACACGAACAACCTGGATATTTTTAGTAGTGGTCAGTGTAAATGTGATTCTAATAACCAATGAAAACAAAACATCTGGAATGCTACAGTTGATTCTTGTTGCTGAAGTTAGAGATAGTTAACTGGAATGTTATTAAAAAGCTTATTGTGAAAATCTTCGTAAGAACAAAGAACTGGCTTTGCAGGGAGAAAGGAAAATACGCTGGCTTTTTTAGTTTAGCACAGCTGAAGTTGCGGTTGTGTGTAACTGTTTGAGGACTCATTGACACAGGCAAATGCTTGATTGAGAGGAATGTTGCTTATGTTCCAGAGCAAACTCAAAGCAAATTTTGTAGGCAGAGCAAATGGACCATATCTAGACCACACTGGATCAGATAATATAGCTGAAAACAATAGACAGGCTTTTAGTAAGCATAAGCTCTCTACTACAAATCTTGTCTTCCCTTGTAACACTACAGCTACAGCAGTGCTGCAAGCCAATGTGGAATAATTGAGAATAGATTGGGAGTAAATACATGTAAATGTTTTTTTTTAATAGGAAAAGTACTAGAACAATATTCAGAGGCATTTTGGTCTTTGTAATATCAGTTTTGTTTACAATATGGAAGTTTACAAATAGTGCACAATATTGCTGCTACAACACTGCATGACACTTGTAATTCAGGAGAGTGGTGGCTAGTGGTTCTCAGCCATCGTTAGGCAGGCAAGATGAGTAGTGGCACAAGCTCAAGTTTAAAAACATTAAAAAAACTTGACCTAGTATTTTATAAATACTATATCAATAAATGCTGTTAAAACTTTAAACAGATTGACATTTTAATACTGGCAAAGATTAATGTTTAGTCTCTTACCCAGACAGAACTCAAAAGCATTGCAGCTATTGTAATTTTTCAGATGTGAAACAAAATACTGATTTGTTAAGGAAGTAGATTTCTGGTACCATATGCTGACACTGGAAAAATTTGGCTTATCAGTATTAATTTAAACCTGGGCAGTTATGAATACTGTTTTGTTTGTTGTTTGTTTTCAGACCCCTCATCCCCCCTGGGTTAAATCTTGCCTGAACAGATGTCTTCAACATGAGTTCTAACTTTAATATGATCTTACATTTGTAGGTGGTGAAATTGCATCAACCTTCGATCACCCTGAGCTAGTAAAACTAGGAAGCTGCAAGCTTATTGAGGAAGTCATGATTGGAGAAGATAAGCTCATTCATTTCTCTGGAGTGGCAATGGGTAAGTGTTTTACCACTGATGTGATACCATAGTGTACATAATTTCATTCTATCTGTGAAATGTCATCATGCTTCCTTTTTCCCCTGAAACTGATCTGGGTAGAACTTGACTGCAGTGATAGCAAAACTGTTAGAAATGCTTTGCAATAGCCTCTTTTTTTTGTGTGTTGGTTTTGGTTTTTTTTTAATCTTTTTACATTTGTGCTTTTTAGGTGAAGCTTGCACCATAGTTTTGCGTGGAGCAACACAGCAGATTCTAGATGAAGCAGAGAGGTCTTTGCATGATGCTCTCTGTGTTCTTGCCCAGACCGTGAAAGACACTAGAACTGTGTATGGTGGAGGTGAATGTTAGATTCTTCATCTATGATATTCATTTTGTAATAACTGTTCAAGTCAGACATCAACATCTGTGTCTTTAATGACTAGGTTGTTCAGAGATGCTGATGGCTAATGCTGTTGCAGAACTTGCCATCAGAACACCCGGCAAAGAGTCTGTTGCAATGGAGTCCTTTGCTAAAGCCTTACGGATGGTAAGTTTATTCAGTCAGATTGCTTGGATTAATAGACATAAAATTTCACCAAACTTGCTAACTTCTGGCATCAGATCGTTGTTTCTCTGTCAAAGTTTTGGTTGTCTAAAAGTAAAAAAGTGAAATTTAGCAACACAACTTGGATGAACAAATGGAAAAACTTGCTGTTTTCTCTCTTAGGAAATAAGTATTGGTGTGTTAATAATGCAGCATGTTACAGAATTCTGAATGTTTAATGCTAGCCCTCTTTTAAGTGGTTCTTTCTCCTCTTAACCTGCAAGGTTAAAAGTGCAGCAGAAATGTCAGCTGAATAAGCTGAGATTTTTTTGTGCTGATTTATGAAAGAGCATTCTATTGATACTATTGATTGTATTCATGCTCTAGTACTGTCTAGAAGTTTCTAACTTGCATTGGAGTCTACTCTTACTTCCTAGAAGATGCATGGCAAGTAACGTTTATAGAATATTATTGTGCTAACAGGCTATCCATTTGAGGGGAGGAAAAATGCCTTCCTGTTATTTAATCTAGGGAAAACCAAAGACCATAGGAAAACATTCCTGCAAGAAAATAAAAAAGCATGGTAAGACTTGGTGTTACTTCTTGAGCCAGCGCCTGCAATTTGCACTCCTGCCACTTGCACAGTGAACAGAATGATCAGGTGGTTAATGCTTACCAGCAAGCTCATATTCTTAAAATGAAACTGTTTCTCCAGTTGTAGTCTGAAATAGGTAGATTTCATTCTGTTCATTTCATTTCATTCTGCCCATGTAAAAAGAACTGAAAAAACTGCTAACATGATCCTGCCCTCTCAGATACTCTCTTATAACAAGGTTTTAAGCAAAATCCTTAGAGAAGTATTTTGATTTTTGTTTTTTTTTTTTTCTGTTTTCTCTGTCTTCTGATCACTGTAACACATCTACCATACTTTTGAAACTTCCTGTTGTTGAAACTGAACAGTAAATAGTAATATCAAAGTATGTTTCCTGTTTACTAGGGATCAGGCCCTGCATGAATTAAAACCAGCCTGTGTTTCTCCCCATAGATCCCAACAATAATAGCTGACAATGCTGGCTATGACAGTGCAGATTTGGTTGCTCAGCTCAGAGCTGCTCACAGTGAAGGGAAGACTACTTACGGACTTGGTAAGGGGCTTCATGTTACTTCTGTTACTGGACTGCTGTTTGGTAGGGCAGTGAGGCTTATTAAACTTGCTCACTTGTCTTTGATACATTCAGTTGGAAGTACGCTGATTTTTGTTTGCTTTGCACAGAGCATGGGCTGCACTTAGTCGTTTATCATTCTACCAAACTTTCCACAATAGAGTGAAATGCTTTGTTTTTCAAGGGGATGGGTTCCACCTGCAGAGACGACTTTGCTCACTCACATTGAGTCTAGTTACATGAAGCTTAAAAAGAAAGGTATTGATTTAAAACCATTTTTTAAATGTATATAATTGCAGCATGTTAGGTTTAAATTGGGACCCTTGAAGTAAAAGACTTTAATACTTTCCTTACTATTAATGTCATTCATTTGAGCAGGTGAGTTACCATACTGCCAGCTTCCTTGTAATTTCCTTAAAAAAAAACCCCACAAGTTCAAACAAACAAGCTCTTAATTTGTCTCTCCTTCCAGATATGAGAGAGGGTACCATTGGAGACATGGCAGCCTTGGGAGTAACAGAAAGTTTCCAAGTTAAGAGACAAGTTTTGCTGAGCGCAGCAGAAGCAGCAGAAATGATTCTTCGTGTAGATGACATTATTAAAGCAGCACCAAGGTATGAGCTGAGTGTCTGCATGGTCAGTTGTGGTATAGAGCAACCTTCTGTGGAAGAGTAAACTGCAGTTCTAGAAATACTTCCATTTGTAATGAAGACTGACATCTCACGTGCTAACGTCCATGTTACATGAGGGGATTTTTTTGTATTAGCAATATAAACAGGCCTTTTGAGCGATCAGTGCACTTTAACTAGGCACTGCTCAGGCATGCTAATTTATCTTGGGTCACCAGCTACTCATATGCCATAGATAGCAGTAAAACATTTGCAGAAGTGGCTGACTAAAATGTGAGGGATCATGCTGCTTTGCTTTTTTCTTTTGGCAAGAATTGCGGTGAAATGCCTAGCTGCTTTTAAAGTGGAATCTGTGGCTAAAACAAAACCACATTTGTTAAGAAGTTCAGGAAGAAATGCCTCTTCTAGGCAGATTATCCTGAGCATGCCTGCTTCCAGGTGGTCTGCACTGCTTTGTGAATTGCAGGGTTTTTTACTGTGGTCGGAGGTGGTGTATTAGCTTTGAGATGATGCTGCCTTTTGTGCTGTGAGATAAGCACTAAACACAAAACATCAACTTAAAAATAAGGGTAGGTTGGGAGGCTGGTGGACATCGTTGTGTGTGAGGAATTTTCTGATTTTTTTTTTTTTTTCTCCCCAGAAAACGTGTACCGGACAATCGCCCATGTTAAATTTTCTTCAGTACCGGATGAGCACAGTGAGGATGTGTGGACCAGATCTCACCTAGTAGCTTTTTTTTAATGATCTGTTTCTTGTGAGGTTGTGGAACAGAAGCTTGAAAAGAGCAAATCTCCATCAATAACATGAAATAACTGACTTCAGTTGGCTTTAACTTATTTCAGTTTCTGTATGTTGTGGGGAAGAATTCACTTTCAAGTAAATCAGGGGCTTTATACAACCCTCTTCTGTTCCTCTCCACGTTCCACTTAAAATACATGGAAATAAATAAAAATTCATATTCATCAAAGTTGTCTTTGTGTAGAAGCAAGAAGGGCAGTTCCATTCAGGCAGCTGCAGCCCACACCCTCAGTCCTCAGATGCTTCAGGCATCAGCACAAAGGATAACCAGTCCTGTCTGTAGGGGCCTTGAGTTGGGATCCTAGAAATAGGTTCTGAAGTTAAATGCTGCGTTTTTCTGGTGATACTGGGGGTTACTCATTTTTTGCTGATAAAAGGAAGAGAAAAAGCTGAAAAGGAATTTAGTGCCCAGAGCTACAACTTAAGGGATTTTACAGCTTTTTACCCTAGAAATTTTATGTAGGTGGGAGTTCTGCAGAGGGGAAGGTGCAATCTGGAAGAGATGACCAAACATGCCGTGAAATACTGAACTCGAGCCAACTTTACAAAACCTTGCATTAGAGGGTGGTTGGTGGCGAGTGTGGCAGGCTGCATTGTGCTCCGTGCCCCCCCTTCCCTTGTCATGTCTGCTGTAGCCTGTCTTTATATTCCCTTTCCTATTCCAGTGGTTGCTGCAAAGGCAAAGTTTTTTAATTGGACTAGTTTCTTCATGCTCAACTCATAAAGTCCATGATGCCTGCAGCACATTCTCAACAGCTGGAAGCAGGGAAAAGTAGAGGCTCTCACTGTCTATGTGGGAGCCCCAAGAGCTGAGCCAGCTGTGACCCTTCCGGCCCTGCAAGCATAATGCAGTACCTTGGCAGACACCAGGGCAAGGCTGCCAAAGCAGCAAGAGTACTTTCTTGATTTCAAATTATCTATGCAAACATTTTTCTCATTAGGTTTCCTGAAACAAAAGCGAGTCTGTTTACAGAACACTCCTCCAAACTTAAACTTACATCTTCAGATCTCCAAAAGTGACAATATGTGTTAGGAATGCTACATTGAAATACAACCACTGACCAGCAAGTGAAAGCACCTTCTTGCCCACCTACTCAGACAAGTAAAATACCAGGTTAGTTCCATAGGGAGTAAGCCATTGAACTTGGATGTTAAAAAAGCCCAAAACATTTGTCCTGCTGAGTAATCCTCTGGGAAGAAACAGGTTAGATAAAGAATTTGGAAAGAGAATTTGGTTAATTCCAAAGAAGGCTGTTTTAACTCACCGAGGTGTTAGTGTACTTTGTTTAATTTGACTACATGCTACATGGGTGCCAGCCAGATCTAAATTCAGACTTCATTTAACAAGACAGCAAGTGCTAGCAGAGGCTATGTGTTTCCAGATCATTTTTCAAGCATGTAAATGACATTAAGCAGTCACGAACTGGCACTGGCTCAATTCTGTTCTGGGAAGTCAACTGCCGCTGCTGCAGGCTGCGCTGGTGAGACAGTTCCACTCGATGAGTGAGGCAGAGAGGAAAGTGGCTGTTACGTGCCGCCACAGGCTCCCCACCATCTTTAGAAGCTGTCTTCTACCAAACTCAGTGATCTGTGCTGTGGAATCAAAAGCTAAGCATGTCATTTTGAGCCAGAGTTCTGTGTTAAACAATGAAAGCAAAACATACAATGAAAAAAGAGTTCAGTGCATTTTGAAGGGGATCTGAACTTGGCTGAGTTACAGCTGCAGAAATACCCAGCTGAAATCAACAGAGTGGAGTTTGCCCCAGCTTCAAGTTAGGTGCAAGTGTGTAACAGCAGGCTCCCAGCCCAGGGCTTTATTCATGCAAGTTTACCTTTACAGCTCTTGTGGTGTTTCTGTTTTAGTTAGGCTTTGATTTTCTTCTTTGCTACTGCATGAGAACTTGGTGTGTAAAGCTACCCTTAATGGCAATGTTGTTGGTCACAGAAACTAGCACCAAAGCCTGTTGCTTTCCTTACCATCATTTAGAATGCTGCTTGGCAATAACAAAACAAGGGTGGTTGCAAATTTTCCAGGAAGAAGGCTGCACTGGTAAGAGGAGAGCTTGCTGGTACATACGCACTGTTTCCTTGATAGCACAGCCAGGGCTCTGCTACAGCTTCCCACACGGCAGGGAGGGAACCCTTCAAGCTGTTCCTGTGTTTCAGATAAGGCATTTGAGACAAATGCTGTGCTTACTTTACAGCAGTGACTCAGCAGCAATCACCTTGAACAGTGGCATCCAGCTGAGCTCAGACACCTCAGCAAGGTGAAGGGTGAGCCCATGGATGAAGAGTAGCAAGTCCATTCGTGCTCTGCACAGTCCACCCATGGAAAACATCTGAACTGTCTCATCTTTGCTGCCATCTCTGAGTGGTCCCCACGTGGGTGGAGGGGGAAGAGGATGAAGCCTTTGCTCTAGAGAGTGCTGGGTGCTGTGCAAAACAGGTGACTGTACAAGAGGGTTTTGCTCTCATCTAGCTTCAAGCTGGTGCACCTACACCAGGCAGTGCGGGGCTCCCTGGATGCCAGCAAGCAAGGGAGAAAGAAGTAGAGGCTGGGTGGTGGTGTGAGTGCACTGCCACCTTTGCCAGAGTGGGCAGCTGAAGCATCAACAGGGCTCGACTTCCAGCTCAGGCTTGATGGCAGGAGGTGGCGATGGTCTCTCATCGAGTGGAATTTCTACCACCGCCCCGGACCGCTTTCGGGGTTCAGGAGTCTCCTCTGACCACCTCCCCACCCTGCGAACTCCTTTGGCCACTTTGGGTGCGTTCCTGCAGGGGTTATGGTCATAGATCACCAACTTCAGACCGGGGAGGTGAGCCAGGCTGGGGAAGAACCGGATGGAGTTGCGATCCACGTCGATCACCTCCAGGAAAGGCATGTCCAGGAGCACAGCGGGGAACTCAGATAGCAGATTGCCCGACAGCCAGATGGTACGCAGCTCCTGCAGGTACCGCAGCTGCGTGGGGAGCGTGCGCAGCGCATTAGAGCCAGCATGCAGGGTCTTGAGCAGAGTCAACTCGCACACCACCTCGGGCAGGTACTGCAGGCAGTTGGACTCGATCCAGAGGGTCTTGAGATTCTGCAGTAGACGGAGCTCAAGGGGCAGGCTGCAGAGCTTGTTGTTGCCCAGGTAGAGGATGCACAGCTGCTTCAGCGTGCACACGACCAGGGGCAGCGCTTTGAAGTTGTTGAAGTCCAGGGCCAGGATCTGCAGGTTTTGCAGCTGCTCCAGTTCCGGAGGCAGATGGTTCAGGTTGTTGTCACTCAGGTACAGCTTAACCAGTTCCCTAAAAGAGCAAATGTGCAGAGGCAGCCGCCTCAGCTGGCTGCCGCTCAGATCCACCATTTTATCCACTGGCATCTCTTCTAGGTCTTCCACGAGGTACTTCTGGCACTCATTGGAGGGCACAAAAGCAACTACGGCTTTCAGACTGTTGCCCATCCTGTGACTTTTCTTTGGGGATGGCTGGGAGTGTATGTACGGGACAGGAGCCCGCCTGTGCACTGGCCTGCCAGTAACTCCGTCTTCCCAATATAAGGCTCTGTTTACATGGCACCAGCCGTTAATCTCAAGGGCTCTGAAACATTTCTGATAACCAAATGAGTGTTTGGTGATGGGGATTACAGACGGGACGATGCAGAGTGCGGGTCTCCCTCTCTCACCCACACTCCTGCTCGCCCCTCCCCAACAACATTCCTTCTTGCCTCTTCCTGCAATGCACACTGTAAATGCTCACTGATTTTGCCCCAGACCATCTCCCCAGTGCCCCAGCCCCTAACTTCTTGCTCTGGCTGTGCTGTCTGTGCAGCTGGTGCTCTCTGCAGGGATTGGCTTGGGAGAGTAAACAGCGCAGAAGACCAGATTTCTAAACTCAGATGTTTAGCTTTCATGAGACCTTCAGCGGAAACGTCGGATGTAATCGAATTGGTGTTTAAAATACCTGTCAGGGCTCGACTGACTTTCCAGACGGGTGGCACTTCTAGGGATTTACTTTGCAAGGTGCCAAATGCATAATTTCAGAGTGTAACTTGCCACCCAGTGCTTATCTTAAAGCTTTAACACAAATACTTGGCAAACTGCTATCTTGAGCTGTTCTACTATTTATGTTCCTAATTTAATGGTGTTTACTATAGCTCCTGGCACTCTTGACTTTGTAGGGCCTTTCTCATTACATTATGTTTTACATCTTATCTGAACCCCTGTTTAATATGCTCACTATCACAACCTGCCAACGCTGTCCTCCGGCCACCTTCCAACTGTGCTACTGCAGTCCCTGTGTTCCTACCAAAACCTGACAAGAAACTCCCATGAATTTAATTCCATCCAGATTCTCACTTGGTATGAGCGAGATACATACAATGTTAAGAATTATGACTATTTAGATGTGACAGTGTAAACTGTTCCCCTCCTTCTCTCAGCAAGACTCATTGCTGTTCAGGTCAGGGGCACCTCTGATTTCTAGGAGGAAATCTTGAATTCCCATGTGCAGGCACCTCTGTATACTTTGACTTTTTGAACTGCTTCTGTTTTAAGTTTTCCTGGGGATTATCCTACCTGTGTGTTGGACATAGCTTTACCATGACCTTTGGGTATGAAAACTGACAGAATGTTTTCATAGAATCATAGACTGGTTTGGGTTGGAAGGGACCTTAAAGATCATCCAGTTCCAATCCTCCTGCCATGGGCAGGGGCACCTTCCTCTAGACCAGGTTGCTCAAAACCACAGCTTCTGTGGGCAACCTCTTCCACCATCTCACCACCCTCACAGTAAAGAATTTCTTCCTTATGTCTAATCTAAAACCACGCTCTTTCAGTTTAAAGCCATTCCTCCTTGTCCTATCACTACATGCCCTTGTAAAAAGTCCCTCTCCAGATTTGTTGTAGGACCCCCTCAGGTACTGGAAGGCTGCTCTAAGGTCTCCACCAAGTGAGCCTTCTCCTGTTTTAAAGTGAAATGGCCTTTCCAGCAGCTGGCTCTCTACTTTGATATACCTACAGCTTGTTGCTGTCATTTTCCACGCTTACCGTAATTTAGGGAAGATACTTTCTTCCAAGAACCTGCAGTAGGTTTCTGGGTGTTACATTCTACACAACCAAAATACATGATTGCTGAGAGTCACATATTCTTGGAAAAACAAAAGGCAGAGTAAACAGAAGATTGAGAAAAAGGCAATATCACACATTTGAGGTGGCCTCTGATCTCTGGTCACATCTGGGAATAGAGAGCTCTCTACTGGCACTTGTTTTCCAGGGTAAAGCAGCTCTTAGCTATCAATCGAATGTATGCTGTAGGATGTTTACTAGTCTTTTCCGTGCAAGATGTGTCTGTGCCATGCAGCAGCGATGCTATGAAATGTAAGGAGGGTTTCCTGGGGGAGGACAACAGAGAGAACATCTGGGAACTAGTGTTGCTGCAAGACAGAGAACAGTGAGTGCTGTAATGTGAACGCCATGAAGTAGGTTTTGGATGGAGAAGCTGGGCAGAATATCAAGCCTGGAGAACAAAGATATGCTGCAGTCATCTGTGGCTGTGCTGTGGAAGAGAGGCTCTGAAAATACTTGCTGTCATGACAGAAGGTGGGACATGCTGGGCATAGCGTCCCAACAGCACCAGCTGCTTCACACTGAATGAGCACCTCAGAGAAGCCACCTTACTGCTTGAGCACTACACACCCTGGCAGAGGACTGCTGTGGGGGTCCTGTCATTCATTCCCAGAGTTCACAGGGCATCCTTTCCCAAGCAGGTACCCTGGAATGTCATCTGACTTACAAGAAAATAGACCCATGGCCCTCATGGTTTTTGTATATGTTTCCATTTCCGAGGAGCTGTGGCATCTTCTAAATGCAAAGCTCCCTGCCCTGTAAGGTACTGTAGGCTAGAGGGGTTGAAAACCAAATGCATTTGGCATAAATAATAATGAATTAACATTCATAGCAAAGACATGTCCCTTAGACAAATCTCATCAGAAATCCTGCAGATCAGGACAACATAAAAGCCTAGGTAAAAGTATATCAGCTGCTTTGTTTAGTCATATTTTCCTTAATAATCCATATGGAGAGAAACAACTTTGCAGTACACCTTATGTTTATAGGCACAGGTACTTACATTTTTTTTTCTACTTGAATTATTTCTACTGGAACTTTTAAGCTGCAAACAGCTTGGGGATCCTTTGCATTATAGTTTAATCATTATTCCAGCTTATCAAAATAAGTCACGATGACCTTCTGTTGCCGCATTTTGTACCTCTGTTGGCGAAATGAATGTCTGCTTGGAACACACGGTGAGATCAGAGTATTTGGGGAAACTATAACCTTTGTGTGGTGAGACAACAAAGGGCTACATTTGCAATAAATGAATAATCTTGAGCTTTCTGAGAACCAGCAACTCAATGGAGGCTCTAAGGCAAAGGCAGTCCCCTCACCAGACCCAGGGCGGTGTTTTGAAAGCCACTTCGTGTCTTCAGAGTTATCCTGATGCCCTCCAATGTGAACATTAATGACTTCCCAGAAGCATTTCTGGCATTTGAGGAAAAGTTCAAGTGATAAAGGTGCTCAGCACAGACGTTGTCTTGCTCTTGTCAAAGTGACACTGCTCTACCAGAGGGCATGACATCTGCTCTGCTGCGCATCAGGTGGCGCATGTAGGCTCCTTGAGAAATGCCTTTGCTCCCTGGAAGTTCACAGATGACCACAGCTATTGCTCACTGTCCTCACTGCCAGCACCCAACTCCTGCAGCTCGGTGGCTGGGACATCTGTGGGGCAGAAAATGTAGTTGCTTGCTGAGAACTTGTGTAAAACCTCTGAGTTTGCAAGAAACAGGGAATGCTGCTCAGAGCTAAGGAATTAAAGACCAATCGCAGTAAAATGAAAACCAATGTAAAAGCTGTGATTTTTAGATTTTAGTATTTTTTATGTAAATTAAAACTAGAGCTGCTGGTGCTTTTTTCAGCTCTGCACACAGCTCTGGACAACAGCCTTTGCTGAGTTTCTGTAGCCCTCATGCTTTTGCAGGTGAGTTTGAAAAAGTAGAATGTGTGTCTCAAAATCCAGGGGACTAAAGACTAGAGCTCTGAATTAGTTTATTTTAAGGCAAAACACTGTGTGTTTGGGTTTTTTTTCCTGTTTTTTCTTGACTGGAGCATTGCTGCTAGAGCAGATGATGACTCCTGCTTCCTTCATGTTCTTGACATTCACTCTTCGCTGTGCAAAACATCTGCTGTCTTTTTTGGGAAGGTACTGAATTCCAGTTCACCCTCATGTGGTGAGCAGTTCATCTGAAATAAGTGATGTATTCCAGGGAAAAAGTTGTCATTGCTCTTTTCCCAGCATCCTAGCATAGGCCTTTGAACAAAACAGGCTGATTATTCACATTTAGCTTTGTCGCATGCCAGGCTGCAGCATGTGATTGCTCACTGCGCTTCCTCATGCAGAGGAAAGATTCAGAATGTCTCACAAGTAACTCACAGTCTCAGCGCTGAGCTTCCTCGCAGGCAGTTAATGGGTTTGGGGTTGCTCTCTGTCAGATCAGCCTCTTCGACGCCGTGACTTTTCCGCCAGTTGGAGTTGGATCCAAGTGTCAGGCAGGGGTGGGAACCGCTAACCTCAGGAAACTCGCAGGAAAATAAACCCGAGCAAGCACTTCCAAGTGTCTTGCTGAAACCCGCACAAAGCCACTGGCTGTTTATTACTGTGTGTTGCAGCCTGTCATGGTTTTTACTTTCAATCCCCGTTTTTTCATGTGGCAGTCACATTTATGTTTAGCCTGGAGCTCTCCCATAAATAGGGAATTAAGCTTCAGTTGTTAAGGGATGACTTGTCACAACCCTATCAAATGCCCTGCTGAAACACCTCCATGTAAAAGGGAAATGGTTACATGTTACGTCCTCTTTCTCTGCATTGGATACATCTGGGCTGCTTGTCACTAAAATAACCTTGAAAAGAAGCTTACTTGGAGGGAACCAGGCAAGTTCCTGGACCACCTCCTCTTTCCCATCCTAACAGTAGCCAAGCTCATACCATGTATTTATGTAAATGACACTAAGGATTGTTAATAAAATGTTTATTTGGTCTACAAATAAAATGTCTATTTGGTCTACACTGTGCCCTGGTTATCTGTCTTAGTAGCTCCACTGGACACTGCTATTTGCACAATCCAGCGGTTACTCTGAGAGCAAATGAATCACTTTTCTGCCAAAGCACTGACCTCCTGTGATTGATTGACCTGGCGAACAGCCCTCTGCTGACAACAGGCTATAAAAAAGGGACTTCTGAGTAAATGAGTGTTGTTAGACTCTGACCTGCTTGGAGCCATGCGGGTGATGCTGTTGGCTGTGCTTTATGTCCCATTAACCCTGGCCCTGGAACGGTAAGAAAATGCATCTAGCATCACTGGCACGTTTGAGATGCTTTCCAGGGTGCTCGTTGCTACTTGAGGTCTCAAAAAAGAAGCAAATTTAACAATAAAAGAGTGTATGAGAGCTCCAGAAAGGAGAGCCAGTGAATTTTTGTGCATTTATGTTGTTTCTGTAGAATCCCCCTCATTCGATTCAAATCTATCAAGAAACAGCTGAAAGAAAAGGGAGAATTAGAGGAGTTTTGGAGGAATCACCACCCTGACATTTTTGCTCGGAGGTACCTTCATTGCTTCCCTGCAGATATTGCTTTATCAGTTGGAACTGCTTCAGAAAGGCTGTATGATTACATGAATGTAAGTACAGTTTTGGTAATGCAATCGTAAGGATTTGTTGTTCTCTTGAAGATGCTTTATTTTTTTCCAGCACATTTCAAATCTAGTCTCTCAATGAATATATAGGGCTTGAGGTGGCTTGCTGCTCTACACTATTAGATCATAATATCACTAGGTATTCGATCATACAAAATAGTCTGCTAGTCTGCAAAATATCACTTGTCTAGATCCAGGTTAGCATGGGACCTGTGTAGAAAGCTGATGTAGTCTAGCAGTGGTAGTTCTCTGACAAGTTTCATTTTTGTGTAGATCTGGATTGGACTTGATTGGGAATCTGGACTAATGTAGGTTTGCCTGTATCAATCTGTGTTCAGGACTGCTTTTTTTTTTTGGGGGCAGAACTTGATTGCTTCATTTAGCTGTATTCTATTTATCAGAAACTTGGATGTTTGCATGGTATAAAAGAAATCCCCCAAATCTCATTTATTTGACCATGTGGCGTCATAAATCAGTGATAGCAAAGACCCAAGTAGGGTTTTTATTTGTCTGCTTTTATCTCCTGAGCTTAATGTGTATTAAATATTGGAGACTGACCTGGCTCTCACACTAACCTGGCTGAACTGACTACCTAAATTGAAAAAGGTAAAAAAGGAGTTCCATTGGATCTCAGACAGGCAAGTCAGCAGGTCAGCCATTCTGTAGATTGTCTTTCCTGGGTTTAGCATGTTGTCCTCTTGGATGGTCTCTGTTCTCTGTTTTATTTGATCCTTCTGTTATGCTTATGTAAAGCAAAGCTAAGTTGCAGAGACATTGTGGAGGCTGCATGTGAGCAGGTAAGGGAAGGCTGAATTAATTCAGCAAGAACTTCCTGACACTTGAGAGCTGTAATGAAATATGTCAAGGTGAGCTAGAGATGTGTGTAAGATGTATTCTTCTGTAAAAGAAGAATAAAGGAGACTGAAACATATCAGCCTGCTTTAAAGCTTATCAAAGAGGGGATAAATCTCAGAAGGACAAAACACACCCCCTTCCCCAGCATATCCAACTAACACCAGGAACACTTTTGTGGAGGTTTCAGTGCAAGGTGTTTGTGTTTTTTCTTTTTGATGTACATGTCTTAGAACTGCCTCACTTTACAGATTAACTGATAAAGGTTTGTTTAATACAGGAAGGAATAAAATCCTACTGTATGTTCTCTTAAATGGTGCACTTGCTTCCCTTTTCATGACTATCTCATCCAGACCCTAAACTCTGTGGTCAGAAACTATATTCAGTGTATTAACAAGTATGCTCTTGAAGATACACATTCAAATATTTGCACTGCTACAAAAGGCTTGGCACTGGCTATTGCTTTTCTATCTGCATTTGAATTCCAGAAATGCCTCTTCCTAAAAATAGGCCTCTTAATGCTGAAATGCTCTTCCAGGGCCAGATAGGGGCACTTAGACACTTGTATTCGGGATGTGGATAAGCTCTTCGCTTCAGCACTCATGTATTCACAGATTATCCTCAGCTGGTATGCAGGAATGGTCACTCATTTCCACTGGATGAATTTGTTCAGTTCATCAGACACAGTCAGTGCAACAGAGCAGTTTTTTGACTTTCTAAAAGCTGATAATTACAAAGGAAAAAGCTCAGCCACGTGTGACAGTGTGCCATCGGTTGGAGCCCTCTGACTCTGACAGAGGCCGGTCATGCTGTCTCTGCACCACTCATTTCTTACTGACATCAGTAAGGAGCTGCCTGTGTGGTTGTGCGAGAGTTTTGTCTTGGAGTTGACCACTGAAGTCGGTGCAAGGGGGCTTGTTGACTTCATGGGGGAACCCAACTGAGTGTTTGCTTAACAGGCTTTAAAAATCCTGCACTGTTATGCATGCAGCTGGAGTGAAACCTGCTGCACACAGCCACTCCTGGAGCCACACACAGTGCCCTGTGCATGCCTTCATGTTCAAATTGCTCCCAACCCCCTGAGAAAGCATTGTGTGATGCTCCCACGTCTGCCTGTTTCTCGGGAATAGCAGTGCAGCCCAGAGCAGGTTGTGTTGTTTGCCCCCCAGGCACAGTACTATGGAGTTGTGAGTGTCGGCACACCGCCCCAGAAGTTCACCGTCGTGTTTGACACCGGCTCCTCCAACTTTTGGGTCCCTTCTGCTTATTGCATCAGCGAAGCGTGCAGTAAGAAATGTTACTCTCCCTTTTGCTTTGTGTCTTGGGTTCCTTGGACACTTCTCCTTTCCCAAGGAGCTTGCCTGCAGCAGGGATTTGGGAAGAGAAGATTTGGAGCACCCCTGAGGGTCACTGTACTCTCCCTGGCTTGCTCCTCTGTCCCTCCGCATCACCCCACAGCCAGGGCAGGCACTGGCTGCACTGCCATGGGTCCTTCTGCACCATGAGGTACCTAATGTAAAGGGCATGAAAATAAACCTGAGAGCTACCAATAGTGGTGAAAATGCCCATTTTTGTTTTAATTTGTCTTTACAACCCCAAGTAACCTCCAAGGTACAGAAAAATAGGGCTGTCTGGAGGGCACATCCACCTCCATCAACACCTTCCTCTTGCATCTCATCTGGTTCTGCACTGGGGAGCAGGTGCATCACCATTACCTCCCCTCAGTGCACAAATGTCATTTGTTTTGTGTAGGGGTGCACCAGAAATTTAAGTCCTTTCTGTCAGATTCATATGAGCATGGTGGGGAAGCGTTCTCCTTGCAGTATGGCACGGGACAGCTTCTGGGCATTGCTGGCAAAGACACACTGCAGGTAAGCATCCACCTCAAATGGGTGTCAGCCTCCAGGTCAGCTGTTTTGAGGCAGTTCACATTCTGGCTTTGCCCTGGAAAGCCTTACCTGGTTTAGGCAAGGGCAGGGTGGAGGCCCCAGCAAGCTGGGTGCTGAGAGGTGAAGGTGCTGTTCCAGCTTTGTGCTACCAAGACAAACCCATAAGATTCTGTTTTTCATTTCTGCTTGTCTCCTTGGGTCCTGTCATGGATTTATAAACAAACAGCCATAGAATCCAGGCATTACAAGGAGTTGATGTAGCCTACCTGCCAAATGAGCACCTGTTCTATTGATGCAAGTCACCTAAGGATATTGTGCAGGCTTTATAAAAGGAATGAATCCATTCATATGGATCTGAAATGTGGATAATGTATTCTAAATGATGGTGTCTTTGCTTTCAACTGTTTTGGGATTGTTGTTTTTCTTTTTTTGGTACCAAACAGATCAGTAACATCTCCATCAAGGGCCAGGACTTTGGCGAGTCGGTGTTTGAGCCAGGAACAACCTTCGCCCTTGCCCATTTTGATGGTGTGCTGGGCTTGGGATACCCCTCCTTGATAGTAGGCAATGCTCTGCCCGTGTTTGACAGCATCATGAACCAGCAGCTGGTAGAGGAGCCGGTCTTCTCTTTCTATCTGAAAAGGTCAGTCTTTAAAGCGACACTGCCAAAAGAGAAGTACATCTGTTTTAACTGTTGACAGCCATGCATCTTTATAAAGCTTCAACTCGAGAAAGGAATTTTCCCCATTTCTTGGGTTTTGATTGTTGTTTTTTTTTTGTTGCTTTGTTTATTCTGAGGCAAAAGCAGCAACTGGCTCAGCCTGCTCCTGCTGCCTATCTCAGTCCTTGGCAGCCTACAGAACATCTTCTCAGAGGTTGTTTGGAGGCTCTGAGATGGGACATATGCAGTTATAGGTTAGAAATAATCCCTTTCAGTTCCCATACCTGAATTTAGAAACGGCTGTGGTTTGTCTTTTGCTTTTTTAAGTGTCTGCTGGCACACTCCCATGTCTGTGTTAACCTGTCTTCTGCTTTCAGAGGAGACGACACCGAGAATGGTGGTGAGTTGATTCTGGGGGGGATAGACCATTCTCTCTACAAAGGTTCAATCCACTGGGTTCCAGTCACCGAGAAAAGCTATTGGCAAATACACGTGAACAAGTATGTATGTATGTATGAAATATCTGGTGGAATTCACCTCCCCAGGTAAAACCTGCAGGCAGAAACACCTGGTTATACAGGAGGACTCAGCTGCAGTGTTTTACCCTTGTGCCTTTAGAAGAGGGGTTTCACCAGAATGAGGCAGGGGTATATTAGCTCTTTGAATAGGCTGAGATATGGGTGGCTGTTTTCTGGCAGAGCATCTTAATATGTTTTAGTATGATACACCAGTGGTCAAGTTGATTCTTGGTAGATTATTCAGTTAAGAGGTCAAGGCACACAGGAACAGAATCCAGCTCTGGGTCTTGCTCTCATCTTTCCTGTTAACCTTGGTCAAAGAAGTCAGTGTCTCTTTGCTCCTCCTCCATCATGCTGTGTAAATCAAGGACAACACATACCTGTGGGTGAGAACAAATTCATCTGCAGGCAGCAAATGATTAGGGCAGTAGGAGTCTTGAGAGAGTGAGTGCACAGACAGGACATCTTCCTCATGCAGTTTCCTTTTATTACCTTCTTGGCTTCTAAAGACATTCTTGTCTTTAAAGACTGGCAAAGCTTGGCAGCTAGTTTTAACCTTAGTCCGTACTCTGGCACTTTAGCTAGCAATAATGTGCTGCTTCAGTCACAATGTATATGCCATTTGCTTAAAGATGCTTTGTTTTTCGCTTGCAGTATAAAGATCCAGGGCCGGGTGGCATTTTGCTCCCACGGCTGTGAAGCCATCGTTGACTCAGGCACTTCTCTTATCACGGGCCCCTCTTCACAAATCAGGCGATTACAGGAGTATATTGGGGCAAGTCCATCACGTACTGGAGAGGTAAAAACTATAGAGCCAGAAACCAGCCAGAAAACAGGAAGAGAAACTGGTATTTGGTGCAAAAAGCTTATAGGGTGGGAAAATAACCAAAATAATAGCTCAGAAATGTCCCAGCAAAAGCTTTGCTTCCAGGACAGCACTGAACTCACAACCAAGCTGGTTTTGACCCATCTGCCTTGCTGCCCCAGCCCTCCTCACAAATGTCCACTTCCTTTCCCATACTCATCTGTACCAGTGCGTAAAGAAGTAATGGGGGAATCTGTTTGAGGACTCCATCTGTAGTCTACATCAGGGATCATTCTCTTTCGTAAAATCAGAGGATTTTCACTGTCCTCAGCTGTAGACATTGGCTCCCCAGTGATGCTGCCATGGCCAGCCCCATCAGCATCAAATGAAAAGGGAAAGGTATTTTAATTGCATCATACAATGGCTCCACTGACAAGACCTCTCACTGTCAGCTTGCAGTGGAGCAAGCAGTGTCGTGCCAGGGCTCTTGGGAGTCACTCACCATGCTGGCTCCTGGCAGATGGGCCACATGCTTGGACAGACCTCTCTGTCTCTTATTCCTCTGTCTCCTCACTGGTTTTCCTCTTTTCCTTTCTGCTCTCTCCTGCATCCCCCTTGCATCTCTGCCACAAGTCCTGCCCTCTCCCAACCATGCCTGCCCTCTGAGGAGAACCTCCTTCTCCTCCAGTGGGACAGAACATCTTTGTTGTACCATTTGATGGCCTCTGTGACCCTGCTCCTACAACCCCTGACTCCCTGCACCAGTCTTGGGGGAGCTTGCATGAGCCGAAGTTGCTTGAGGTAGCTTAGGCTTTCCCATCCCAGGCTGGGATGTCTCTCTGCTGCCCTTTGCATCTCCCTGCTGGCAGTTTTCACATGGTGTAACTGAACCCTTGTAACATCTAAGCACTCAGTTAGCAAGCTTGAGACGGCTAAATCCACCTGCCGCCAGGGAAAGAGCAGCTTATTTTTACTCAAATGCCTTATTGCTGGCCCTTGGCTGATTCCCATGGGTAATCGCCACATCAGCACAGCTCCAGTGCACCAAGTAAAGCTGCCCTGTATGACTTCTGTCAACTTTGCAGCTAGCTGTCTTGATCCTGACCCACGACTGCTCTTGGAAGAGCATTGAGTGTTATGGTTGCTCCGCAAAGATCAAAGACATAAGTGGACTTTTAATCTGTCTCCTTTTGTAAAAGGAAGACCTGGAGTGGCACTTGCGTATTTCCAATGTACTTATATTAGCATAATATAAACCAGGAACAGGTCATGGCAGTATAAGTCTATATACTCCAGTGCTGACACAAGAACACTCAGCCAGCATCTCAGTTTCTGCAAAAAAGCATCCTGAAAGCAAGACTTTCTATGACTCTTTTTGCAGCAAGCACAGATAGGCTAAATATATAGGCTCAAATTTATCCCACTGTAAGTGGGTGCATCCATCAATGATTTTACCAGAACTTGTATCTCTTACCAGCAAGGATTAATTTATTCTGGACATACTAGCTATGTGAATGAATAAATGTAAATGAAAATGTCTTGCTTCTTGTCTCCTACAAACTATCACACTGGCTTTTTCAGTCTTATCCTCTGTATCCCATCATTTATTTGTTCTAATGGTATGACACCTGATAAATATACACAAGATTTAGAGGTATGTTTTCATAAAGCAGATTTAACAGCAACAAAAATAGATTCTTCCTTCTAGGAAGTCTCTAAAACAATGACTTTAAACACTACAGTTTCCACAAAGATCCCTCTGGGGCTTGGAGCATTCTGCAGTGCCATTTAACATACCCGTTGTTTCATGAAATAACAAGAAAGGCCAGGAAATTATCTTCTGTATTACTGTAAGTGGATGTATTACTTATGGGAATTAATGACCATGCCAGAGTTTAGTTCTGATCTTTAAATCCCACTTCAGAGCAGTGTGTAAGCACAAAGCACTGTATTCCTCACTGGCTTTTTTCCCCTAAAATGACGATGTGAGGGGAGGGAGTGGGGTGAATGCTCCCTACGTAGGCTGGAGGCAGTTTCCTCCATCCAGTCCAAGTCTTTTGCTTGCTGAAATGGATTCACTGGGGCTCACACACTCAGTTTTGCTTCTGAGTTCTACCTGGGGCACATCAGTCTCCCTTCACCTAATTTCTTCTGAGGCTCACAAGGATTTTCATCAGTACTGGGTTTCTTGGGGCTTTGGTGCAGCGGTCTGAGCTGCTAGGCTGGTTTGACCCAGTGCAGGAGCTAGAAAGCTGGAGGGCAGTGTTGGGCCATAAGTCATCCTGATGCTGCTTGTAGCAAATTCGCTATTACCTGCTGCTAAAGTCTTGTATTCAAAGGGCAATACTTAAAAAAAAAAAGGCAAACCTATCCCGCCTCAATCCATGCATCACACAGTTTCTTGTAGACTGCAGAAGACTGTCCAGTTTGCCTCACATAAGCTTCACGATTGGACACCATGAGTACAAGCTGACAGCAGAGCAGTACATCATAAAGGTGCGCATCTGCAGCCTCCCTGTTCCATATTTCCTGCTTCTTTAGATGGGGCTGGAGCAGGCTACCCCAGGACACTTTGTGCTTTCTCTTCCAGGAGTCTATTGAAGACCAAACCTTCTGCATGAGCGGCTTTCAGTCTCTTGACATCCCGACTCGCAATGGTCTGCTCTGGATTTTAGGAGACGTCTTTATGTCTGCGTTTTACTGCATTTTTGACCGTGGGAATGACAGAGTGGGATTTGCAAAAGCTGCTCATAGGAAGGATTACGACTGAGTCCTAATAGCGTTTATTCTGCCTTAACCTAAATGTTAATGTAATGATCTTCAACACAAGCGTGAAGAAGGGCTTTAACTGAAACTCTGGACCTAAATGCAGTTGTGCTGTCCCCCACCAGGTTTTAAGGGCTTTGATGTGATACTTGTCCCAAATTACACAGCTTGGTTCAATCTCCGTGTGTTTACATCTCAGAAACTATTTTTCCTAAACAACTGACGGACATCACAGCTCTCAGGGTGAAGTGCAAACAGCTCAGCACTCAGGTCTGCAAAAGAGCAGGAAGGATAAAATAGGCTGAACAGTGCCAGGCTGACAAGATAGCAGTTATGAGCAGGGGAAACTAACCCCAGTCTGGGCTGCTCTGGGTATTCTTTTTTATTCTTGTGTGCTAGTTTCTCACTGCTTTCCTTTTCCTCATTATTTTCCATGGCTAGTCCTTTGTCCATCCTTGTTTCCTTAGTACCATGGAAATTCTTTTTATACTGGCTTGCTCCAACCAGTTTATATAAAGGGGAATTTGACTGATGTCTGTATGACCACTAATGTGCACTACTGTTACTTGCACACCATTTCCTCCTCCTTATGCCATCTCTCAAATTTGCTTTTTCCCTTGGGTTCATTCTCACTTGTCACTTTCCTATTCCTCTTTTGGGTCTCAGCATTCAATGCCTATTTCTTAGGTCAGATGCTGCTTTTAGTGGCTGACACCTCTGTCCCTTGGCGGTGTGGGCAGCTGGGAGCAGCATCTATATGCGTTACTAAACCCAGACCACAACCCTTGCAATGGGAGGTACAAAGGGGTACCGATGCATCCTCCCCACCTCAGATGAGTTACAGGATCAATGCACCAGCACTGGACATTTACTGTCTCTTGCTCAGCCACTTCTTGTCACCAGTGGCAGCTGCTTCAGCACTGGAAGAGGTGTGAAACAGCCATAGGTAGCTGTGCTCATTTGGCAAAAGAAGATTTACCTAAATTACACCCGTAGGAGTATGTGGATTGTTAGAAGAGATACTGCCCCTGTACATGTGAATAAAACTTAACCAAACAAAATCTGCTTTGGTCTTAGTGCTGTTTCAGTTTCATTTTGTGTTGTCTCACAGGGCAAGGGGGAAGAAGGCATGCAACAGAAATTGAAAATACAGGTTGCTCTGCAGCCTGGAGGGGAGAGATTTGATGTGTTGGGGCATTGGGGCTGCTTGTGTCTCACTAAAGCTGGTAAATGCCTGCAGCTCCAACCCTATGCAGCAGGCACCTCCCAGGTAGGGCTGTGGGGAGCTGGAGACTGGCCGCACTGTGGCATGGCTGGGGCAGGGGCTGGTGGCCCCAGGGGACTTGTTGCTGCTGCCTGTCTGGATGTGCTTAGCGCAGACCCAACACAACATCCATTACTGGCCTTGGCAGCTTTGGGGTCACAGCCCCTTAGATTTGAAGGCTTTAGCTGTAAGACTCAATAATTATTATTAAAGCAAGATCGCTTGCTTGTAGGTATCTCTGAAATACTGATCCTGCCTTCCAGTATGAAATACTCCCTCTCTCTGGCGCATGTTTTCACGACCCTTTTTGCAGCCACATTGTGTTACACATTTGGCATCCAGGCTGTCAACCTGTAGCAGTGGGGACCTGCTGCCACTTGTCTCTCTGCAGACAAGATGGAGCTGTATGAAGTTACCATGTATTTCAGGCCAGTCTTGCCTTGTTTCACCTTTGTCCATGTCACTCTTAAAGAGCAGAGTGACCATGAGATAACTTACTTACTGGTCTAGAAAATGTTGTTTGTATAGTTGCAAACTGCAACAAACATCCATAAAGCCTTCTCAGTCAATTAACAGTAGGGGGTTACTTTTGTTTCCCCTACTATGCAGCAGACTTAACATATTGGTACCTTTCAGTTTCTCTAAAATAGGTATATATTCCTCAAACATGAGCTTGCAGTCAGAGTTAGAGATCTGTTATTTATGATGGAGGAATTTAAAGATGATGGGACATGCTCCTGCAGCCAGTCAGCCCCTACACCAACAACTCAGCTCTACAGATTCCAGCACAGAGCATTCACACATCCAAGCCATAGGTGCAAAATTCGGCAGTGCGTGCAGGGACCAGCCCTCTCTTTGCCCTGATATATCTCATCCTGCTCAAGATTAACACCATCTGATGGGAGCAAGCTGCTGCTCTGACTTGTCTATCCTGCCCTGTTCTATCCTCAGTCTTCTCCAGCCTTGCCAGATTCTGGTAGGCATCAAGCTGACTTGCATGATAGGTGACACCTTTGCAAGAAGTGCTTCTTGACAGTTCAATACAGCCAAGACAATTGTGTTTCTCAAAATGCTTTTATTCATGCAATGATTCGACATTGTTTATATAAGCAAACATGAACTGTAAATTGTTGGGCTTGCTAAAATAGTCCATTTACCATGCTGAGGAGAATAGTGTATTGGGAGACGTGAGTAACGGAGCACAGAACCCCAAAATCAGAGCCTGCAGATGTTTGCAAAAGTGGGATAACAGACTAAATGAGGAGACAAAATTTCTTTTGGGAAGTCATCCCAACACTAGCTTCTTTGCAAGCAACAAACAGAATATTGCAGCTAATCTGGAGCTGGCCCATTACGTGCACAGTGCTATTTGTGTAGTGCAGATTACATTTGTGGGACTTCACAGAGCAGTCATTCCTAATTTAATGTGTCTACATGTCTAACAGGCATCTCTATGGGACTTAACTGAAGCTTTTATCTTCCTAATAGCTACGGTGTGGCTACCCTTACCCTCCACTGAAGAACAAACATAGTTGATGGGCCAGGGAGTGCTGGCAGAGGTAGCAAAATCGTTCCTTATAGATGCATAATGTCCTGGTGGAAAGCAGCAGTGTGTGTCCTAGGTAGCAGCTAGGCTGAGAAGAAGGTGATGGCAGATAAGCAGAGCTGGACGATGTGAAGCTAAGACGGCATCTTCAGGCTTAGCACTGCCTCATGAAATATGCTGATGTCTGGGCTGGGGAGGATAAGCACTTTGCTCCAACATCTTAAGCCCTGGTGGAAGCTGAGGTGAGAAAAGAGTAAGGAGATGTAGTGGGAGTGGACCCTCAGTGCAGGTTTGTACTGGGCAGTTTACAGTTATCTCTGTTTTCTGGCTGAAATCCCCTTACAGAGAGAAGCACAGCTCCTCAAGCTTATGTACTGTGAGGACACAGCTAGACAACAGGGCAGACTTCCTCCATAATGACTGAAAACCCTTCCTGTACATGCACAGCTGGGAGGAGAATGGCCAAACTCCTCCGAAACCTGTATTGCTCTCCTGAATTTAACAAAGTTCTATAGAGGAGTGTTTCAAGGAGAGCAGCATTTGCTTTAACTTTGTGTCTAGCTGTGTGACACGTGTAAAATGTATCATTTATACCTAAACTTTACTGTTTCTTAAAGTTAAGCTGATTGGTAAGTGAAGTTCCATGACAGTTACAGATGCAATTAAACTAAGAAAATATTGAATTGAAAAGTGTTGCTTTGGTTCAAAGAAAAAAGTAGAGAATAGGGAAGAAAGAGTGAATGCGGGAAGAATGCCTTTTTTTCTCTGCTAATGTAGGGAAGGGAAAGCTATGTGTTTCCACCACTGTCACAGGCTGATAGAGTCCTCTTCCCTGGGGAGAGTCAGCAGACCGGGGCTCTGATGGCTGAAAAGCTAGAGGATGCTGCCAGAAGCTGCTATTACCTAGTAACAGCCACCCAAAGAATCAGACTGCTAGGTTAAGGTGCTGTTTATTTCAGTATCATTTCACTTTGTCAAGGCTCTCATCCTGTTGGTCAAACCTGACCATAACAATTTGATTTGCCTGAGGACTTGTTGCGGGTGGCAAGGGTGAGGTTGCACCAGAATGCCTTACTGCAAAACTGTGACTGATTCTCAGTACTCAGTTGCTGTCAGACACTGGCACCACCTCATCCCACAGCATGGAGAAGTGCCTCTGTAAGTGCCTGTGAAATCTGTGCTTGGCTTTTCTGCACACCTGAAATTCCCATAATCTGAGTTTAAACACATCTTCCTGGGGCTAAGAAGTGTCCTCTGCTTCCTAAACTGATACATGTGCTTTTGTCTCGTGTCTTTGAAGGATTTGAAAGGGAGACACTGCTCAGAGCATGTCTAATGCACACCAACAGTTCCCAGACTGAAACAAAGCTGGAAGAAGTAGAAGTGAGGAGAGTGGTTGATTTTTTCCCCTCCCAAACTTACCCAGATGGAATAGCAGAGTCGTGTGCTATGTGACAGCCTTACTGGAAGGGCTCCTCACTTAAGCAGCTGGACATAGGAGCAGGAGCAAGCAAATCTGTTCATTCCTTTCCCAGCTTCAGGGGGTCCTGAAGACTCTCAGGAGCCACTGGTGCTACCAGTTACCCTGATAGAGACCTTGGTTTGTTGGCTGAAGTGCAACTTTCTGAGCAAGACTGCTGGGTGGACAGGCTATCCACACAGCCCATGCCACTTGTTGGCTGCTGCAGCCCCATCATTCCCTTGTCTCCCCTCCCTCTGTTCCTCCCAGTCACTGAGCTACCTGGACTCTCCCTTGTCTAATGAGACCATCTACTTGGATGCTCGCTCATGGGGGAACGCTGGACTCACGCTCCAGTCTGAGTCTGTGTAGATGTGAATGAGAGCTGAAACCAAAGAGCTGCTGCTGCTTTCAGGGCCTGCTTTGAGACTTCTTGTAGAAGTGGCAGCTGAAAGGCCAGGTTGCTACCAGGAGGTTCAGGGAGGTGGCTTAGCCGCCCCTGGAGCAGCAGGAGCCACCTAATGCTGGCTCAGGTCTGAGTTAATGGAGGATGTGTGTGACACATCTGGACAAGTGTGGGAGCAGACAAGGGGGGGAAGAAAGCAGAGACCAATTTTTGCTAGTGGTCCTGGGCCATTTACTTGTCTACCTGGGGTATCTGAAGCCTTCCAGCTGAGGATCTCTGCAAGAGTGGAGCCCTAAACTCAGTTGCTCCTGCAGCTCCATCACCTCTTGAGAGGGAGCCACAGTCCTGGCATCACCAGGGAGGCCACCTGGGAGCAGCATTTTACAATAAACAGCCACCAGGTACAACATACACATGCTCCAAGGAGCAGAGGTCAAGGCTCAGACCCCCATGCCAAGCTCATCAGCACCTTTGCCTCTTCCATTTTTCTTACTGAAGTTAAACATTTAATCCTTTTATTTTCCCACTCTGCAGTGGCACAGCTTCAGTAGGAGAGGGGGGGCTTTTGCCCCACACATGTGGGGAGACTGATTTTTCAGGCATTCCTGCAGACAGAGATGGTGAGCTGAATCTCTCCAGGCTGGGTAAGGAGCCCACACCTCCCCTTCTAGCCATTTGAGTGGAAACCGGAACTATTGGTAGGTCTTACAGAGATGTCACAGACCTTAATCTGAAGGAGCGGCCAAAGGTGGATCCAAAGTGGACAGAAGAGCCACCTCTGCTTTCCTGATAAACTCAGTGGGTGAGCCTGCACAGCTCGCTGCCATTTGCGCTAGCTAGCTTGCGTTCACCCGTGAGGCTCCCTACAGTTTTACCTACAGGATCACAGATTTCAACCAAGTGGCTTAAAGCATGTCACCATAGTGCATTCTCTTTAGGTGCCCAATTCCTCGTGTTCAGGATTTGTCTGAGTGTTGTGTTCTGCCCTTCACACTTTCAGCAAACCTGTGTGAGAACCACTTGTGCGAGAGGACAAGAAGTTCAGTCAAACCCAGAGCAAGCACGGTCAAAGTTTTCTTTCACTTTTCTCATTAGAAAATTCCACTATAGCTGTTTCTTTACTATCCAGGTTTTCCCACAGGTGCTGCATCTCAAATGTCTCTGGAGCAGCAGCAGAAGTAAGATTTTTTCCATCACTGGGGGTCCTTTGCTGTGAAGATGTCTCAGAATCTGTTAAAGTGTCAGCATTTGACGTTGTATTTTGACTATGGAAGCTCGGTAAACTCCATCGCTGAATGTTTCTCTCCTGATCTGTTATGAAACCGGCTAAATTACTAACGTAGGGTTCATGTTTGGGCTTCCCTATCACAGTAGGAAGTGACTGATGCACCTCAGAGCCTGGGAGGTATGTAGTGACTTCTGGGGGGAAAAAAGGGTCGTCCAGAAGACTCACATTTGTCTCAGTTAGGCTCCTTTGGAGCTTCTCTTCTGGCATGCTTGCGTTGCACTGTGTTTGCGGATCTGGTTTGCTCAGCACATCAAGCGCTTCCTCCTCAGCTTCAGAGATGATGACCTCAGGAACTGGTTTGTTTGTCTCAGATGAAGTGTCGCTGTCACCAAATGGTGCCTCGTTCCTTGAGGTTTCAGTTATGGGTCCTAGGTCTCGGCTACTGTGAAGTCTGTTATTTCTGTCAAGTCCTTCATGTTTCTTCTTGAAGCTCGAGGTGGAGTATCTCCCCCTTGTGTGCATTTCCTGCAGGCGCCTGATGTGCCCCTTTTCATCTGCTGGGAAGAACACTGAGTTCTCGCTTGTCTGCCGACTGTAGCGCCGCTGAGCTGGAGGTGAAGGGCCCTCGTGGACACTGAGGAATCTCTTGACTCTTCTCAGCACTGAACGTTGCCTTCGGTGTTTCTCCTCTTCCCAGGGCCACTCTTCCCCGTAGAGGAATTCAGTGTCAGCCAGCCTGCCAAATAAATCCTGTTAGTAGGTGGCGCTTATATACAGAAAGTGTATGTAGTCTGCATGCACATATATCCCTCCGTCTCAGCAGGAAGACCTAGGAACCAAGGCCCTAGTGTGTCCCAAGGAAGGGCATGAAAGGGGTGAGGGTGTCAGGAAATAGTGCCCCTGCCTTTAGACGAGCCAGATCACATGGAAAGCTCTCCACATCCAAGTGTCTGTTCTCCTGAGGATGAGGCTGGGAGGGCATCCAGCTGGGCATCTGGCACTACTTCATATTTGAGCTGCAGCCCTCTGTGGCAGCTCCGCGTGGTTAGGCTTATGAATAACATGAGGGAGAGGGGAAAAAGGAACCCTGCTTGGTGCTGTAGATAATTTCGAGGAGAATTCTTCAGGCAAAAATAACAAGAGTGAAAAGGCTGCTCCTGGAAGCAACAGTGTGATGGTTTCAAAAGATGCTGGAATTACTCAGACGGCCAAATCCCACTTACTTCTGGGGCACGACAGTGTGTCTGAAAGTCCCGCCTGTACCTGGTACTCTTCTCCTGCCCAGCCTTCGTGGTTCTTGAGAACAACTATTGCTGCATCTGCCAGGCAATTCAGTACACATTACTGACCCAGTGTGCCCCAGAGGACAAGTCAAACTCTCACAGTTACCTGTTCTGTGTGCAGATGGCAAAGGGACTCAGGCCAGACCTGAGGCAAGGAGAACAGGGAGGCAACACCAACCCAGAGGGACAGAGGAACTTCATCCAGCATTTATGAAGCTCTTAGAGTCATGGAAGTGTTCAGGTTGGAAGGGACCTATAAAGGTCATCCAGTTCCAACCCCTCTGCCAAAGGCAGGGACACTTTACACTAGAGCAGGTTGCTTAAAGCCTCATCCAACCTGGCCTTGAACACTGCCAGGGATGGGGCAGCCACAGCTTCTGTGGGCAACCTGTGCCAGATGTTGGCTTGAGGGGGCTGGGAAAGACTTTGGCTCAAGTTTTATTTATGCCCTTTGAACTTGGATGAATCTTTAGACCTGTTTTTTGAACTGTGCACAAGAGCTACCAACTTTTTTAGAGAGATGAACAGAGAAACAGTTTAGAGGAGAAAATAATTGGTAAGAAATTCAACACATCAGAGCTGTTTGCATTTCACAGGGGCTAACATGGAGCCATTTTTCATTCACCCCGTTTCATTTTTTGTCCAAAGTGCTTCTTATTAAAAAAGTGCTTGCAGACTTAATAATGTTTCTGCTCTGCCACCTTTTCTCCACTTGCAATTGCAGTAAAATATATTCTATGAGTTTTTCTTCTTTACCTTTTCAAAGCAAAAATCAAGCAGATTTAATTTTGAGAAAGGCTGGAAAATTTTGAAGAAATGGAAAACTTCTTGAAATAAGTTTTAAAGTTAACAAATGGCTACTATAAAGTTTTTAAAAAATTTTCAGATTAAAACATCTACTTGCCCTTGTATTTGTTCAGGCATGGTGGTATTTACACCTACTGACCTGTTCTATATTAAAGTATGTCACAATGTTTAAACTCAACAGCTTCTAAGCTAACTAGCCTATCACTGATTTCTCATATAGATTCTGACAGCACCAGGCAGTCCTCTCTTGTCTGTATGTTTCTTTATAACGATGGTTCTTGTGTCAATCTCTACAAATAACTCCATTCCTTCACAAAATCTGGCTGCTCCAACTTCCATGCCTAGATTATCAGTCTATGAAAAGTTGTGCATTTACAATAATTTCTTGTTTATCTTCACAAAAATCTGAACTGATTTCAGCCATCATCTGCTACCTAAACAAGCACAGGAATAGCTATTTTGTTAACTGGGGGATGTATGAAGAAGCAGTAGTAAATAATTATTAAGAGAAGTCAGTTACTGTCTTCAGGTGCCATCCTGTGCTCAGCGACTATCAACACTCTCCCTGCCAATATACTCTATTTAGTAATTACACAATTTAAGCTATGGGTGCCAAATTCCTATGAGCATATGGACCTACGAGCACATGGAGACATCACCACCTGAACACCAGCCTGTCCACTCCCTCCTAACATCATTTCCACCTTCCTCGCTCAAGGTATTGTCACAGCCTGCAGCCCTGCTGTCCATCAATCAACATGGGCTGTAGGGGTGGTGATATTTCTGATGGCATTAAGAACCCTTAGTGCCACTCACCCCATTTCAATAGTCGATCCAAGAAATGAAGGAATACAGTAATCAGCAGCTGCTTTTGTGTAAGGTGGCCGGGCAGAGGAGTCGTTCCAGTAAATATCTTTCTCCATCCTTGGTAAGTTCATGTGCATCTCATCCACTGCTAGAAGTGAGACCTTAGATTTTTTTGGTATAAATCATGTCAGTTTCAGCACAGTACAGTATAAGACATAATCTGCTCTGGACTCCCCGGGTCAACATTTCTTTCAGAAACACCTGAAAGTAATCTCTGTACTGGCCTGCATACTGGGAAGAGACTCGGTATTAAAAAATATACCCCCTATATCCTCCTATACTCCTGAAAGCATAAGTGTTATTGTAACTTGAGTCTTCTGTGCTGCAAAGTTATTTGTGTCAGATTGAAGTCCTCATGCATGATGTAGATAAATGGACATGTGATCCTCCACATGCTATAGGAAATCTGTGCTCCTTAAAATGCCCAGAAGTAGAGAAGCTTTCTGATAGGCTTTGCCCACATTTAAGATGTTCAGAACCAAGCACGTGGCCATCCTGTTCTAGGACATTCCAATACATTTTATACAAAGGGCTCTGAGGCACCATAGCATAAGTAGCCTGAAGCAGTGTTAAGCTGGAGACCATCTCTGGCAGCGTGAAGGCTTTTCCCACTCCTCTCCGTACCTGCATTGCTTGTTTTGCTTAATATGCTGATTTAGTTGCCCTGCCCTTGCTTCCCCTAATATCTGGGCTCTGCTCTCCAGTCTTAGTGGTCCCCAGCAGACGTGGGGTCCAACAGCAGCTCAAACCTATGCTTGACTCTACCTGCAAGGGGAGCAGCATGTGCCACTCTTCATGTCTTTGGGCTCATTCAGACATACAGAGGCTGACGACAGGAGCTGTTTGGAAATCAGGGGTAGCTGCAGTAAATCTGTACCCTGGCAATCTCAGACCTCCTGCCACTGAAGATGCTGGCTTCTGTGCCCACCACAGATGCTGCTGTCACAACATAAATCATGGTATAAGCCCTGCTTATTAGTTCATGGCCCTGCTTGGTCTTTTTGGGATCTTCACTGCCATTTTTTTTTAAAGGCAGGTTCATATACAATACTGTAATCTCTAGACATTCAGATTAGCAAAACGTGTCCTTATCTATGTGGGAGTAGATGGCTTTTGGATTTGCAGGATTGACCTACATTACATGTTTTTCCAGGCATAAAGTGAGCTTATAGTTTGAGGTCAGCTGTTTACTTGTCTAGTCAGGCATCATAAATGCCAAATACTAAAATCAAGATGCATTGACTTGTCAAAACAAAATCTGTGGATCACAGCCATAGGTACTCCTTCAGGGAAAGAATTTGTTATGTTGTCACTTGTTGTCCTTAGTTTGTGCCTCAGTATAAGGAATAGGATTAAATGTAATGATTGATAACCTATAGTACAGTAAAGCTGGAAGTAGAAATAACAACAGCAACCTGTAAATTCCTATCGATGCACCAGTTAGTTTCAAAATCATCATCGTCTTCTCCAAATGGATTAATAAGTTGTTCAGCAACCTGAAAGGAAAATGAGACAGTGAATAGAGGTTGGCATGCCATGTCAGGACTGCTGCCACAGAGAAAATAAGATTGGATTTTTCTCTCTCCCTGCCTGTCACTTCCAATCATATCTTGAGCTCCCGTATGATGGTTTTGCTAGCCTAGCGAAGGAACAGCTTGCTTTCCCTATAGATTCATACCTCTGTGTCTCGTTGGTGCTATCAATCATAACTGTCAGTGCTGGCCTGCTGGGAATTGAGACATGTCTGGGCCACGCAATTGTCACATAAGATAGTCATTACCTCTCCTTACTGTTGACTTTGGCTGATTTAAATGAATGTCTTGGCAGCTAGAGGCTCTGTTACTGCATTATGGTATACAATGCTCCACCAGCCCATTCGGTCCGTATTCCTGAGCCCTGCAGCTGCAGTCTGCTGGAAGGACCACAGCTTGTCTCTCGAGCTCAGTCCGCAGCCCCTGCTTCTTTATCGTGGGTGATGCTGATGGCATACCCCCGAAGCTTTCCAGGAAAAGCAGCCCACCGGAAGACTTGACTCAAATGAATGCTGTGCATCATGCTAGCTAAAGGCAAGAGAGAATCTGAGCTTGTTCTTTCATTCAACTTGCTGATTTGTGTTTCTGCACTTGAAGTGATTAAAACTGCAGGGGAGAAGCCCATCCTGTGGAAGGCACTACCAAACAGTGAGCTCCAGCACCTTTGTAGTGAGGTGCCCTAGTCTGGGAACTAGGATGGGAAAGGAAACCTCTCTGGCTGCCCATAGCCTTATCCTGTCCTGTTCCCCTCACTCCACAAGGATTAAATATATGGAAAAGCAACAGACACTGCCCCCACTCTATGATCATCAAAGTAGATTGTGGGGAGAAAACTTCTAGCTGCTGGGGGAGAAAAAAAAGATGATGTAGGAAAAACTGAAAAAGATTTAGGAAATTCAGACTGCTTCTCTATTTCTCAGTTCCTTGGTACACTGAGGTTAAATATCCTCTCCCCTTCATGCTCTTCTCCTTCTGTTTGTCTTTTTAAGCCTCAGTTTTGAAGCCAATCACATTCTTGCTGACCCTCCCAAGCCTTCTTGATGGCCACCAGGGCCAGGCCAAGTCCTCAGTTTAACTTGGGTACAGGTAAATCAACTGTATGATTAAACAGCCCTGCTCATGAGCCTCACAATGGATGACTATGATCTAAATAACTTATAATAGTAAGGGAGTCACTCCCTGCCTATTTATTCCCATGTGCTTCTATGTTGCACCAGTGGGTAAGCACCTGCTGACTCTCCTAGGTCACAACTTCCCAGGCCAGCAGTGGAAGACATCAAATGAAGTGCCAAGCAGACTAACACAACAGAAACACCCCAAAATCAGGAGGAATGAAAACAAGACAGGGGACACCTCTGGTCACACTATTGGCCTGCCCCATGGCATTAAATTTTGGGTATAGCTATGGAAGTAATGCAATAAGAATGACCTAGAACAGATGCTGCTTTTGCAGGGAATCACCACCCAAAAATCCACTGCAAAACCTGTCACATGAGCTAAAAGAATTAAGCAGGGCTGGGACAGAGGGAACAGCATTGATGGCCTTTTCTTTGGCTGAGCTGGTCCCGGTATGTGAGACACGACTTTACTTGCTGGAAAGGAGTGCGGTGCTGGACAACTAAGCCCTGTATTTGGACAGTCTGTCTACACCTGTAATGATAATGGAGTGTCTGGGAAACTTTACTCCTGTATTGTAGGTATAACAAACCAGGCCTGAGGCCAAGGCAAGAGCTCATTTTAGCCATAACTTCTGAGAAATAGCAAAGTTACTGGAAGTCAATAGCTTGAGGCTCTTTCTGCAGCCTGGCAGCCAAAGCTCAACACACTCAGCAGGAAACTGGCTGTAACCTTCAAGACAGAAATATCCTGACTCAGGGCCTCTGCAGGTTTCAACAAACCTCTGGACCAAGGGAGCACTGCCAGTATTAAATCTGCTTTTAAAAACTGCTTCTCCTCCCTTTCATTTCCTTAGGCAGAAGGTTCTTCAGTTACAATGGCATCTCATACCTGCTATAGCCAGGATTTGGCTGGTAGCCCTGAGCCAACCTGGAAGAGATGCTACTAACAGCCTTGGGTGCTGATGAAGGGGAAACCATTCATCCTTCAAATGCACCAGCAGGATGGTCAAGAGGAACAGCTTAAGAGTTTTGTAATCAGTAAATCTCTGGACAACACTGCCTAGAGCAATGTGCTTTCCCCACCACAGCAGCCTCCCTTCCTCTCTCTCATGCTCCCCTCAAGGCTGGTCCCTGTGTGGCACACCCCTTTCCCCATGAGTTCCTAAGACACAGGACTAGAGGAGCTTGCTCTGCAGACACTTTACTTTTCCCTGCAATTGACAGCTTGGTGTGCTGCTTTCTCTACTCTGCCCTTTGGAGTTGGAAAGGGGGCTATAAAATTAGCCAATTTTGCTCAATTTATATTCTAACAGAAAAGTCAGCTCTAAGTTTCCAGCCATGATTAATAATCCCAAAAGGAAATCTTAATGCACATAGACCCTAATGTACCAATTTGCTTTTTATTTGAAACTTTTCTCCTTTCTACCTTGATAGTCACTGCAGAAGCAAGAACTGCCATGAGGTATGCCTTAATTACTCAACTATGAGATTGATGGTGGTATGTTAACTGAGCAGACATCAATGGGTAGCATCCAATTCTATATATAACTCTTCTTTATAGTGAACATTTTTATGAGGTAGGGTTGCAGCCAATATTGGCTGCTACTGTTTGATAGCCCTCTGGAACTGGAGACCTTTAATTGCTTGCATCTGATTAGGTTAACAGTAGATACTAAAGGCTGGCTTTGATCAAAAGAAAGCATGATTCAGTCCCTTTCAGCCCATGACTTTTCCATAAAGCTAGTTTACCTTGAGCCATCCTGCGTAGAAGAAGAACTGTAACAGTGTGAAGATCGGAATGTAAAGATCTAAGTCATGTCCCTGATACCCTTGGTCAGTATCCAAAAATTGGCGCCCTATCAGGCAGGCAAAGAAAAAAGTATAGACTGCGAGAGTAACAACCTGCAAAGAATAAAACTTCATTGAAATCATGTAATGATGCATAAAGCAACACATATGCAAAGGCTTCTGACTGCCTTTTGCATATAATTTACAAATCTGTAGGAAGGTATTATGAATAGAGGGGTCACAATTATGGCCAGGGAGAAGACCCAGGAAACATAAAAACCTTTCAGTGCTTCCCTCCTCTCCCCCAGGTTATGAAAGGTCTTCAAAACATCTCTGCATTAAATGTGACTGTTAAATATGACTTAAAAGTCAGCCAGGCCTTTGTGATCCTGTGGGAGTCAAGGAGTGTTCAACAGCTCAGAGAATCTGGTTGAGTCTATGGATATTTTTCACCAAACTCCCCTTTTATAGAGATGGTGTTTGGAATTTTGTAAAGGGTTAGAGCTCAGTACCTGGGTATAGACCAGTGGAATTCCAACCCAGTCATAACCAAACAAAAGACTACACCAAGACCGGTACTTATTCATCTCCTAAAAAGAAAAAAAAGAGACAAAGAATAAAAGAAAAAGTAGCCCCCAAAAAACTAAAATAGCATGGGGTTCAATTCTAAATTATAAATATCTTGTTACAAGTCATTTTTGCACATATGAAAGGACAAGGAGATACAAAAGTTTGGTATATAGAAATTGTTATCATAATTACATCCAGCACCCCACTGTCACATTTGAATATTCATTTGGCTTATGGAGTTGGAATGCTTAGTATATTATGGATTTCTTCACAAATTATCTTTCATTTCTATCTTATCTACAGTCAAGTGATACATGAAAGAGAATATATTATATCATAAAAAGGATGTCTGACTACTTAATGAAATATTCAGGGAGATTGTCTTCCTGCAATTGATATTAAAATCTTCCAAATGTCACATTACTCTCTTCTTTTTTTTTTTTTTTTTTTTTTTACCCTGCAGCAATGGAACAAGTATGAATTCACAGTGATGTTACAATAAATTTTTACTCATCAATTTGGTGCTTTAGTTAATACCTTCTTAGTCATATAAATACAATCCCAGCAAACTGCTGCTGTGTGTACTTGAGAGTACAGAGGTACACAGAGACAAGCAGTATAAATCCTGAGTAAGATCGCTTAGACGACACTGGAGAGCTGTGCACAGTAAATCAAATTATGGAAGTGAAAAGCTACCACATAGCAATTTGAGATCAGTTTTCTGTAGATTTACTTTTTCTACTTACGTTCAACAGTGTCTGCAGATCTACACTGTCTCGAATTCTCCCCTCTTTTCGTGCCTTTGAAGCCAAATTCCCAAACCAGACAAATGGAACCCAGTATTTCAGGTGGGGAGACTTCAGGTCATCAAAGATTTTTCGTTCATATCTTGTCATAAAACCTGTTTAGCCAACAAAAAACAAATCCAAACACTTAATTTATTCTGTGCTTTCGGTCCTACTGATTGTCTAAATTTTTAATACGTTTGAGTCTGTTTATGTGATATTTACACAGAACTATCCTAAATGCTATTTATAATTCTGACTAAGTGGTCTCTTCCTTTTTCCTTTATTTGAGGTTTTTGCTAGGATAGATCTTGCCTGAAACAACTGCTTTTGCAATAATTACCTGTTACTTTTCAGCAATGATGGCATTAGACACATCTCCACCTATGCTGTAAGGGCACTTAGGTGACCTTCTGATACTGATGATTTTTTGGTAAATCTGCAAAGCAGTGAGCAAGCAACAAAGGATACAAGCACATGCATGAAACAGAGCTCCACAGAGACTGTGCCTTCTGCTGGCAAAACACTTCCCTGCCAGATTGTGTTTCATGTTTTCTTTGGGGTTATGAAGGCGTGCAAAGAGAGGGAAAGGGAACCATGCACAGAAATCCTGCTGCTAGTGGGACACCGGGCCAGATGACATGCTGTGAGGCTGCTGGCTGAAGCTGCTCTCTGCCTGGCAGTTTGCCTCGCTGGGGTGCTGGAAAGGTATTATGTTTCCTGAAGAGTTCCCCTGGCCTTGTGAAGTCCTGCTTCCCCCTGCTGCAAGCAAGCCCAAGGTCAGAGCGCAGGGGAGCCAGGGCTGTGAGGGACAGCACCTGCATCAGAGCAGGTCGCTGCCTGGGACTGGCAGGGGAGCAGCTCTACCTCTACCCTCTTGGGTAAGAAAGCACTGTGCTGCTGTTCTCCTTCCAGCCAGCCTGTGAGAAAAACCACCTCAGAAAATACATAAGGGTGCATTCACATTTTCTTATGTCCAAATCCTGTATTTTCTGTGATTGGAGTAATCTTCAGGTTTGGAGAATCTTAGCTTTTTGCTCAGGTGTGTGTCACCTCCCTGGGTGCGTATAAGGCTTCTTCTGTTTTGTTGACATCAGCTCCAAAAGAAGACAAAGTTAGTACATAACAGCCTCAAAAAAAGTGGCTCAGCCAATCAATCAGAAGCCCGAGTGCTGAAAATTCAATAGGGGAGTTGAGAGTAGACAGGATTTTTTTCTTGTCTCCAACTCGTAACTAAGAATTGTTGCTAACAATTGCTAAACTGGCTCATTGTTGCTGACATTGCTAAAGATACATGAAGCAGAGAAAAAATACAGAAACCCAGTTGTTTTGTATAAAAATGTGAATAAGGTAAAAGGAGATTTATGAAACACAGCAATCTTCATAGATATTCTGCTGTTGAGAAAAATGCCACTGTTGTACAGTTGCAACAAGTCAGCACAGGAGGTGTGAAATATTGCTACTGAGAAGGAACACAAGGACGGGACAGAAAATTCCATGGAAGAATAAAAGTTCAGCAACAAGACACAGTACTCCTGCAGTATCACAGAATTTGGTAAGTTTGCAGCCAGCTCTCATAATCAAGTGCACAGAAATAATCAGGCAACCAGACAAACAGACCTGCTAGTCATGACTCCTAAAGACAGCTTTTCAGACTGCCTTTGATTTTTGGCTGGTCAGCCTGCTCATTATGGGACAGGAAACGATATTTCTATCAGACTGAGACAGACAAAATATCGGAAAATTGACAGTCTGGAGTAAACACTGGATGCAAGTCACTTCAGAGGCTCTGGGAAGTCATCCTTTGGAAGAACACAGCCTGAAGAACAGCGAAGGTACAAGGATCAGTTCAGCTCTCCACTGTTACCTGGGCATCTTTTTGGTCAGAAAAGTTCAACAAAGCCTTGTTCTTAGAATCATAGAATAGTTAGGGTTGGAAAGCACCTTAAGATCATCCAGTTCCGGCCCCCCAGCCATGGGCAGGGACAACTCACACTAAACCATGCTACCCAAGGCTCTGTGCAACCTGGCCTTGAACGTTGCCAGGGATGGAGCATTCACAACCTCCCTGGGCAACCCATTCCAGTGCCTCACCACCCTCACAGTAAAGAATTTCCTCCTTATATCCAATCTAAACTTCCCCCATTTAAGTTTTAACCCGTTACCCCTTGTCCTATCACTACAGTCCCTAATGAAGAGTCCCTCCTCAGCATCCTTATAGGCTCCCTTCAGATGCTGGAAGGTGCTATGAGGTCTCCATGCAGCCTTCTCTTCTCCAGACTGAACAGCCCCAACTTTCTCAGCCTATTTTCATACGGGAGGTGCTCCAGTCCCTGATCATCCTTGTGGCCCTCCTCTGGACTTGGTTCCACAGCTTCTCATGTTGAAAACACCAGAACTGCACAGTACTTCCAGGTGGGGCCTCATGAAAGCAGAGTAAGTTATGGCATGAACATGCAGCTCAGAACCATGTGCTGTTACTGCAACAGGTAGATAGAAGTTTAACTACCTGCTTCTGTGTTATGTGAGAAAGAGTTAATTTAGGTACTTCCTTCCACCAGAGGGTTTGGAACTCCATACTTCAGCCTTTTGTAGGTATTCATGTCACTGAGCTCACACCTCATGTTTCTCTTAGGCATTTCCTAGCAGCTGTTTTAGGCTGCTCTGCTCATCTCCTGACTCATTACTCATGTTTTTTAAGACTTGTGTTCTTGGGCATCCAACTTCCCTCTCGTACCTTGCAGCCAACAGTATTGGTATGCTTAGAACTGCTGCTAGGCATTTGACGCTTATGGCATACGTGCACTCAGCACCATAATGTCATGAATCCACATGCATCTACTGCTTACAGCTCCATAAAGAATGCTAACAAATGAAAAAAAGTTCAGAAAAGACTTAGAAGATTCTCCCTACAAGACACTGTCTTCAGTGTCTTGTAAGGAGACACTATAGACGGTAAAGTTCCTAAGTTTATTCAATCCTTTATGCACTCTGTTAACAGGTAGCAATTGAGAGAAAAATGATGTTTTAACCTAGTTAAAAAAATAACAACTCAAACCCGTTCCAGAATCTGGTGATCAGAAGATGACCCTGTGCAAGTTCAGACTGGAATAAAATCCCACTTTTCAGCAGGGAGTTCACCACTGTGAATGTCAGTTCACCTAGGATGCAGTGTAGTCTCCAGTATACCCGGCTGAATTTTAGATCAGGGCTGGTCATATTCCTAGAAGGTATTATAGCTCAATCAGAAACTGCAACATGACAAAGGATGTTGCTAGTAAGCGTTTATGCCTTGTGTTATGGATGAGTCAGACTCCATTATCATGGTATTGTTCTCAGATTTAAAACCTATGCATTTAAGCAGTTCACTTACTGAAGAGAGGAATGTGTAGCAATAGTTACACTGTGGCAGTTCTGTTTCATAGAGAAATGCAAAACCTGCACAGGTTGTTGCAATGATGACAGATTCTGCTGGTCATGTTCATACTAAATGCTGCACTCCCATGCAGTCTCACATGTAATGCCACAGGGAGCTAGGGAGGGGATAATTGCAGAGTACTGTCTTAATCACTGGATGTTAACGAAGCAAAATATACCCTTAAGTGCTCAGTACTGCAAAAATTATGTGGCACAATATGTATTAAAAACTGCAGAACAAGCACTGAAATCCAAGGAGCTGACTACACTGTCAGTACTTATTTATACCATTTATAGAATATTCTTCATTGTTCATAAGAAACCCCAACAACAAAAACTTGCTTTCCAGTCTACAATTCTTGTACAACACTGCGACATTTTGTCTCTTTTGGAACAGATTGTCTTTAGCAATAGGGAGGCAGAGCTGGATTAGCCTGCTGGAAATGTTGTAATTTTCCAGTGTGTACTAGAAGCAGATTGCTGGGGAGAGTGACAGAAGCTTCCCTGACCTTTCACAGGCCCAGGTAAACAGTTTTGTTGAAGAGCACAAGGAAGAGAACTTCAAAATCCAACTGAATCCAACATAAATTTTGGATAATAAAAGACTCTTTTTTTTTTTCCAGTAAGATCAGCGCATTCTGCCTGCATTTTTGTTAATATCCAAAGCTTCTCGCACATATGTCAAATGTGGATATGTATGTACACACTGCATATTTTAACTTGCTACAACTTTGCTTGCTAATCTCTGCCAAATGAATAATTTTAAGTGAGAAATGCAAGACAGCAAAAAAGGTATGACTTCTTCTATTTAGAATATATCCCAATATCTCTGCAGTGGCATTCTATCCCTGACCATGTGAATCAGAAGGCATGGCATCACGCCTTGCCTTTAAATACTCAGCAGTCAGACCTTCACAGGCAAGCAGTCTTACACGACTGAGCTCTCTTTCCCAGCATCACACTTACCATGTTATCAAAACAAATTGAAAATAAAGACATACTTATTAATACCTATTATATTTACCCCTGAAAAATTGTATTTAAAGTGAGATTTTAAATGTAAAGAAAAAGCCCTCAGGGTTATTTTGGATTTTTTGTTTGTTTTTTTTTTTTTCTTCTAAGTAATACTTAAAATGGGAAATCTACTCAAAGTGCAATCTACTTAAAATAAATAGAGATAAAGCTGTACTTGTGAAGCGCCTAGAGAGATCAGTCTCTGATACACAAGACAAGTTGTATCCAGTGCATCGAGGCAATGCCATGTGTCAAGTCACCTTTCCTACTGCACCATAATGCATTGCAGATACATTATTTTTCATGTTTTGGAGAAGGTTGTACATGTTCCATATACCTGTGTGTTTGGGGCATGCCTATTGCCTCCTTGATGTCAGAAAACAGATCCACACAAAAGTCTCCAACTCATTTGATTTCTATAGTGTCACTAGATGAAGACTTTAAGAGCATTAAAGCCACACACTTAAGGGCACATCATTTAATCCACTGACAAAAATGTAGTCGCTTTGACATAGAACCATAGGTTGGAAAAGACCTTTAAGATCACTAGATCTTAAAGACCTTTAAGACCTTGAAGTATTCAAGACAAAGTTGGATGGGGCTTTGAGCAAGCTGGTCTAGTGGAAAGTATCCCTGCCCATGGCAGGGGGTTGGAACCAGCCCAAACCATTCTGTGATTCTATGGATCCATTAGTCCAACTATAAAAGACATGAGTTAGTATGAGGCACACATGGGGCCAAAGAGGAAAGAAAAAATGAGTCTGCCTCCTTCCCTCCTTGTGCCCCCACCTCTGAAGTAAAGGAAAGAAATCCAGGGGAGAAGGACACCAGTACCTGCTCCAACCACGTGGTCCACGGTAGGGAACCTTTTGTACACAGCTGTGCTCACAGAGCGAAAGATCAGCAGAGATGTTAAATTCACATAGCGCATGAGAGTCCTCCTTAACAAGCGCCCATATTCATCTCTGCCCTGGACACAGCTAGAGATGAGGAACATCAGACGATCTGGCCATGGCAAGTTCACAAACTGGTTCCACCAGCGATTCACCACCAAAGTCACGTAGAAACCTGGGAGTTAGAAGGGGAAAAAAAGTGCAGTGCCTGTCAGGATTTCTGTTTAGGTCACTTTGATTTGGTTTACAGAGTGTTATTCATATCACTAAGCTGCTACATTTCCCAGAATAAATGCAGTATATCACGTCAAAACCCATGATGCAATCAACTCTCATTATTTAATAGACACTGCAACTTAATGGCCCATTCCAGCTGAGATTCTCATACTCATTAACTTCCAAATTTCCTCTTCTGAGTAAACCTTAAGTGGATTTAGTGATTTGAAAGATTGAGCACAATGTATCAGTGTTAGTGGGCACTAAATATAGTAACTTTACTCTTTTGTTGGTATAATAAATATATATATATAAATATATAATAATATATATACTAAATAAATAACTTTACTCTTTTGCTGGTATAATTTGAACATGAGTATAAATGTTGATTTGACACAAGCGACTTGAATTTAAGGAGGTCTGCTTGAAGCTGATGATTTCATTGTGAACCTCTAACCTCCCATAGGCCCCTCAGCTCTGAAGTGCTTCCATGCACAGACATTCACAAAATGCCTGAACAGAGGCAGTGCTGGAGATTGATTTCACATGTAACCGGTACTTACCAAGCACAAAAGTTACCGGGATTTGTTCAGCATATTTGTCACAGTAAATTGATAACTTTTCAAAGAACCGTTTTTGGCTACCTGTAAGAAAAAATCTGCAGCAAGAATAAAATGTATCTGTCCTTTCATAATATTCTGGCACTAGCTACAAAGTGCAAATAGGTATAAATAATCAGGTATGTGCAATCAGGAGCAACCTCGGCTAATGTCTTCAAGTGAATTCTTAAAGGTAAAGTCCTTAACACTTTTGGCATGTAATACAGAAGCTGAAGAAGAAGACAGTATTATTCCCTGGTTTTTTTTGCAGCTTTCTCATGGCTAATTTGACTGGCAGTACTAATTAGGATCACTACGCCTGGAGAATTAGTTTGCTGTCTCAAACGGACCAACCATGGTAGCAAGTCTGTAAGTCTGTAAGTAGAGCTTACCCTCCTTTTCCAGAGGGCTACTTACTAAAAACGGTCAGGTCTGGTTGAATTGCAAAAGGTTACTAATCCCTAACTGCTCTTATTTGGAAATGTTACGTTTTTGCAGTATTTTTTTTTTTATTCTTACTCCTACTAAATATTTCTCTTCCACAAGATTAAAAACACAACTACTGTATTTATTTTTCAGTGAGGACGATATTCACCAAATGATAGATAATGAGTGGAGTATGGCAGCTTCTGCCCATGGGAAAAAGGATATCTAATGAAATACAACAAGCCTAAATAGAGCATTTGTTTTAATTTGTATAGATTAGTATTACACTTATTCTTTGATTTTATATAAAAGGAACACACGACAAATATTTGTTAGGTTTTGCTTATAATTGTGCAATAGAACCTGGAGCACATATAGAAAGCTTTTGATGGTGTATTTACCATGGTCTTTAATTGCCAATTTTAATTTTAATACATTTGAGACTCCTGTGTTTCTTTACGTATTAATGCTGAGTTTACGGGTATAGAACATTTTGCAAAATTAGTGATTAATCACAGAGAAACTGAAGCTCATTTTCTCCTTGCTTCACTTTGCTTGAGCAAACACTGGGGTCTAATTAGAGATCAAGGCAAGAGCTGAATCATTATTTTTATACTTCTGTGTGGTGTACTTCATCAATTAAAGTTTCACTTCACTAACTGATGCAACTGCATCTGTCATACAGGTGTTTAATTCACACCTTGGTGGAAGAAGCAGCTCTCCTAATGTGACTCTTCCAGGTGCTGGGTGACACAGAGCTAACAACCACCTCTGGTTTCCATGAAGTCTTGCTTGGCCTTCTGCAAGCTTAGAAATAAAGTTTGCATGTCACCCTAGCGTTAAGCAAAACTTTTCTTCTCCTGACTACGTAACCTGGCTCTCAGATTATTACCTTTCAGGTTTGTTAAAGAAATTACCACTGAGCAACTGAAGACACAGTTCTGCAATTAGAGTAAAAAGTCTATACTTATCATCCAAAGCAGAGAGGCACGCTCACTGCTGCCAGCTCCAAGTCAGAATGATAAAAGCTGTATAACATAGGCTAGCCATGGATGTTTATTTAGCCTAACTTCAGTAGGATGGTTGCTCAACAGTGGGATGAAAGTAGAATCAGCTGAATATGATAGAAAGTATTTTATTTATATCCTACATGCTTTCTCTGGAACATTAAAGTAAACATGGAAAGGAGAGAGCATTAGAAAAGGTCCAAGGAAAAGACAATAACTATGTTATAACCTCCCCCCATCATTCATCAGCCTAACACTATGAAGTATGAAACTTCAGTATAACATTTAATGAGATGTGAATTGGAAAGAGTGTACCTGTATAATACACTTATCGCTGTGTAAAGAGTAGCAAAAACAATAAATTCTCTGTACAGCAATTTGTAGATGCTGCCTTTCCACTTTAGGAGTAATCTGTGAAATCCAAAGAAAGTGGCATTTGCTACTTTGCTGGAATAAGTGACTGTCATCGTCTTGGCAGGCTGAGCCTAGAAACGTAGAAGAGAAGCAGGAAACCAACAATATTTTAGACATCATATTCTAACCTGAATGCACCCCTGTATAGGTAGACACATAGATATACACATATATATGCATATAACGGCATAGGTATACATAAATACATGCTGTATGTATTTATATATATAGACAGAGAAAAATTATAGTCGTGCAGTTACAAGCCCCTTTGAGACCTGCAGATTGACTGATGCAAGGCTGGTTTTGGGCTTTACCTCAAAGACCACTCAAAAGCAACAGCTAGCACTGAATGTGGCCATCTGCCTGGGGAGCAGTGGCAGGGACATGTTACACCTCTGAAGTATCGGCTTACTCTCAGTTTTCTCCAGTCTGGTGTGAGGAAAGAAAAGGAAATAAATTTGCTTGAAATTCTTTTCCAAATTTCTTGGCTTCTCAACAGAGAAGGAAAGCCGAATTCCACAAATACACCTTCCTCCCCAGCCAGTATTTTTAGCTAGCTTTGGTAATTATACTCATCTAAAACTAAATGAGATTTGGAGACTGCCTCCTTCATTAGTGGTTGCGACAGCAGCTGAGATCAGGTGGGGAGCCCTGTTATTTCTCAGCCTGACAGCTAGACATACTCATCAATACTCACATACTCAAAATAACATGCAAAAAAAGCCATAGGTTTGTCCTGGTAGGAAGCATGTGACACAGTGTAATTAAAGCACTAGAAGTATACAAGTAAATATTTTATGCTGGGTTTGTTACTTACTTACCCAGTGCAAGGAGATACTACAGGAACTTTCATGTGCTTACAAAAATGCCCCCAACAAAGTCCAAATGTGGATGAAACCAATTTTGTACAGCATGGAAGAAAGGGAGTAACTAAGACAAGACAAAGCCTCAAGGTAGGGAGTAACTAAGACAAGACAAAACCTCAAGTTAGTTGTGTATCATAAATAAGATTCTTGTCTATATTCTCTTGATTCCACTGTAGGTCATTTACTCTCAGAAAAAATAATCTGAACACCTAGTTAATAGGTGGCTTGGTGGAATTCCATGCAACATGGCTGTGTCTTTGATGCAGAGCATGAAGTAAGCCATTAAAATTCAGCTGTAAAAGTGCCACTTTTTCTTTCAGTCACCAAGGGAATTAGCAGGAAAAAGACACATAAGCCTTCTACTGCTGACAGACTGTCTCTTCTCCTCTGCAGGATGGCTGCTCAAGGTTTGCCAGCATGGGCTTGGAGATTTTTTTGGTGTTATTGGGTTTTTTTAAGATGCATGGGTTTTATTCTTTAGCATCCAAATGATAGTTTTCCTTTTTTCTGAGACTTGGAAGAGGCCTTTGAAATTTTTGTTCTTGTTGTTGAACTCCATAAAGTTCAATTCAGGAGCCAAGCTGACTGGCATGCAGAAATGCAGTTCTGTCTGCTAAAAAGCCTGTGGTCAGGATGAAACACTTAAGAAAATGGAAGCAGAGATTTCCATTTCCCAGCAGAAATGGGGCTTTATAAACAATGAGGGAAATCTGTGACTGGGCTATAGTGGAGGAATGGGGTAAAAAAATACTCTTAATGATACACTGAGTTCTCTTAAAAGTATAGGAGGCTTTAGTCCTTGCCCTTTGCCCATTAATGCTGGGGAGTACATGTATTCAACCCAAAACATCAAGAAATGTGTCTCTAGCTCCCCACTAATACCTAATCTGTAATGGAAACCTCCGGTGGGACTACCCACGTGTAGGGGCTTAGATCTAAAAATGATATCTGATAATGTGAGGGCTTATAGCCTGGCAGGAATCCAGACCCCCAGGGTAACACAGTGCAATGATTAGAAGATAAAGTTAGACAAATGCAGTCTGAAGTAAAATACAAATTGCTAACTGTGCGGGCAACAAACTGTTGAAACATGGGACTGGATAGACATGCTGTGGTTTAGGATCTTTAAGATGAGAGCAGGTAGTTGGACAAAAGATGACCTTCAGGAAGAATTCACATAGCTGGGACATACAGGATTGAGGTTGAGTGGCTCTGCTGGTCTCCCCTGGTATCTGGGCACCTGTGAAACTTTCTGGCAGTCCCTTTTGTTGTGGGCCATGGAGGGAAAAAAATTGCTTTGCAGCACCTTCATAGCCTCTGCAGCTCTGCAGGAAGGCAGTGACTGGTGTCAAAACCATAGAATCATAGAACACTCTGGGTAGAAAGGGGTCTTACAGATAATCTAGTTCCAGCCCCTTGCCATGGACAGATGCACCTCCCACTAGATCAGGTCATGGATCAGTTTCTGGACATGAGGTTCAGAAAGGAGTCATCCTCCCAGGCATCCATGACTGGATGGTGCCAGAAACTGGTCAGGAGCTGAACTGAACAAAATGGGTCCACCTCCTCTACAGACCTGCAGCAAATCCTGTCTTGCAAGGCCTAGTGGATGGGTTTTGGCCACAACTGCAGATCTGTAATTACAATAGGATTCATAATTAAGAATATTTCCCCATCCCATTAGACTGGGAGAGTTTTCTTCATCAAGTACTATTTGCCTGCTTGATTCAAACAACTATATTTCACTTAATCAGATTCCAGCCATCTCTCTTAGCAGTTTACTCGATGTCCTTGGCTCTTAATAGAAACTCTTCACATTAGCTTGAGAAGCACTGGTCATCTGCAGCTTTTTCTTTCCACCTCTGAAATGGGGCAAAGAAAAGTGGGACTGCTACAGCAGTTTCAGCCTTCAGTACCTTGGTTTCCTTGCCCTGCTTTGCCTGTGATGCACTGTGGTTTTGCTTCCTGCTAAGCAAATGCTTAATTGAATATACATGATTGGGTTCATATAGGGACTTCAGGGTAATATAATTCAATGTCCTAAAATATACATTAGGTCAGATTAGGTGATTTAGACTATATGACTATATGAAGCTATGAGAGACAGCCACGTGTCTGTCTGACTAGATTTCACAACATAGCAAATAGATTTAAATCTGCACTTGTGCTTTTTTCCTCTGGGAACAACTTGGGTGCAGCTCCCCCCCTGCTTCCCGGGAACTTTTGGCATAAAGCCTTGCCCCGAGTCTGGTTCTTGCACAGTGGTCCCAAGACCTTGCTTCGTGAGCAGCATGTTGACTGAGAGTCTTTCCAACATTAGTCATGGGCACAGGAAATGAAAAAGCTAAAACTGAGACAGATAGGAAGAGCAAAGCATAACAATGCCCCCCCAGCACATTCCTGCCTGGGCACTATTTTGGCCAGGCCACAGAAGGACAGAGAGTGTTAGATTAAATACCACAGGCACTGGTGTCATGAAAGATTTTTATATTAATTGTGTTGTTCTTAACTTCATTAGCAGGTACAGAGCAAGGCTTTCTGCTGGATTTGCAAGCTTGAGGACATAACACAAGTTATGTCCATTTTATGCCTGCAGAGACTTTGGCTCATATCTATGATGCTGCTTTTCCTTTTGTTTGGTGTTTGTTCCCCTTCCGAAACTTTCTCAAGCACAGGCTGAAATGTGAGTTATATATTACACCACTTTTGCTAAGATCATCAGAAGCCATTAGGCATAAACACCTAAAAATAAACATTTCCCCCAGCCCCTACTAATATTGAGCCCACCTGTAAATGGGATTTTTGCCTGGCTGAGAATTTCAGGATGCATTGGGATTCAGAGAGAAACCACAGGAAAAAATAACAGCTATCAGTGTCCTAAGTGACCATGAAAGTCACATTAGAGAATGTCTAAATAGTGGCTCTGCTCAGACCTACCCCTTGTTATTGTGTCACCTTTTTTCTTAGTTCATGAGGTAGTAGAGAAAGTGAGTGAGAGAGATTCAAGTTAAGCTAACTATAAAAGCATATTAAGCTAATGTTGTATCCCACTAACCTGCTATTTTGATTTGGCAGTCCAAGCCTGAAGGCAAATCCTGGACCCTTCCTCTTCCTCAGGCACCGCAAAGTCCCCTTCAGGTCTGCAGTAGTCACCTTGTTCTTCTTTTAACCTGAAGCAAGGGGTTGCTGCTGCCGAGCCCCAGGAGGAATGGACTGACAAGAACAGGGGTTAAATGTCTTTCCACTTCTGGAAGTCTGTTTTTGCCAAGTACCCTGTCCTGTCAGTTACAGAGGGAACAAACGCAAGCAGCAGCAGCAGCAGCAGCTGCTGATCTTGCTCTTTTCTGGTCTATAATTATAACGCCACTTGCCATCGGAAGGACCCCTTTCATTTGAAGGAAGAATCTTGTGATGGTTTGGCTGGCACCTCCAGTTTTCTACCGCTGATTTCCCATCCCCAAAATGGGATGGACAAGAAGGGAGCATTTTTATCTGAGACTTCTTTTGAAAAGCCTGATCTCTCTGTGAGGACACATCAGTGAATAGCACTGACTACATCTAAATGGGAAAACCGAAGACAACCCCACCAAACTTGGAAGTGTGCTCCAGCTACACCTCAGTCCCACCATGGAGCACACCTTTGCTGCATTGCTGGTTTGAACTGGGAAATCAGGACTCTGGGGTGTGCTGTAAACATCACCCATCCCTCAAAACAGGCAGAGTTGCTGCTACTAAAAGACTCAATAATCCTATTAATGATGGTACATCTCAGCATGTAAAAGTCTTTCTGCAACTGGTGGATCTGCACAGAACATCTTCCCCCTTCCCCTTTGTAAAATGAAATGAACTCTGTCTTTTATGACCCATGGCATTAAGAGGGAGTTGTAAAAGGTGTTAGACTGTAAAAGCCCAGGAAATGTCATATAATGTTGCCATAAATCTCTATGGAGACTAAAATAATGCAACTCTGAAGTAAATAAAAAAATTGGGGGGGGGGGGGGAGAGAAAACAAGGTTTATGGATTTAATACATTTTATTATTAAAGGTTTCCCCACCCCCACATTAGTCCCATAAAGCTATTTGAGGACACTTATTTAATTAGAAATCCCTCGGAAAGAAAAGTAGTTGCTGCCATTGTTTGCCTTTCTTCTTGTTGGCAATGGCAGAAGAAGACACTTTGATGTCAAAACAGACGAGACATTAGACTGTGGCATGTGTGTGTCAAGCAGTGGCCTGCGGCAAAAGATGACAAATTATTTTAACATTCAGTGACTTGGGATGAAGAAACATACTGCCTGATCCTATTACAGTGACTGCCCTCTGCAAGGAAAACTCCTACCAACAGGGATATTTTAAGGTCATGGGTAAAATAATTACTTAGACCTAAAACATTTTTCTTTGCTGAGTATAATCATTTGCTGGTCTCACTGAGCAGTAAATAATAGCACCTCTGTGTGTCAGTGGGTATCAGGTGGTTTTCCTGGCAGCTTTTCATTCTTCCTGCAGATTGGAGCAGCTGAGATTGCTCCTCTGGCTCTGAGCTGTTTTGCAGAAGACATGAGATTTAGAGCTCCTGTGTGTTCAGAGGCAGAAAGAAATACAGGTTTCCAGCTGTGTAGCTCCATTGTGAGTGGTTCTGTAGGAAACACTCCTCTTTTTATTGCTAAGGTGCCCCTAAGTCCTTGCTGAATGTTACCCAAAGACAGGCAATGTTTTTATCTCTCCTTCATTTCCTTCCTCCCCAAGAGAAGCATACTTGATTCGTGTAGAACCTTTGCTAACAGTGGCTGTAGTGTGGTTTTACAGCATCCTCTGACTTGGCTGGGCATATCCTTTCCCAGGTAATGGTGCTCTCATTTCAGGGACATTTGAGGGTGCAGTCCCCATAGGTTGCTTGCGTCTACCTGGATTTGGGAGGAAGGGAGGAGGGAGTGACAATTTGTAACTCCTACTGCAGAGTTCCCAGTTAATGAACTTACTACAGTTTCTAGCTGATGCTTGTATCTGTGTTAGCATGAGTGAGCGGAGATATTTATTGTAAATTTTAAGGCAGTCTTGCCTTTGAATTCAGCTCTTCAGTTTATCTTTATATTGATATTTTGAATCCACAACATTAACAACAGATTGGTTCTTGGCTCCAAAAGCTTAATTATTACAGAAGGGCTGTGAAAGCCACCGCACCAATTTCAAGGTCCAGCAAAGGCTACCTATAGAGCTCTGCAAAAATCCTGTTTTTCAAGACATTAGAAGCTTCCTTCTTCTTTAGAGACAGAGGATAAGGATGGGGACTTGGAAGGAAGGAAATAGCAGTAAATGGTGTTCCCAATCTCTGACAAAAGTGTAAGCTAAGGCTAAGGCCTGAGAAAATACTGGTTAATGACCGTCACACTCCTTTGCTTCTGGTTGATGCTGACATGGCTGTGACAGTCCTGCTGTATAAGAAATGCCTGCTGGAGCTTTAAGAAGGCTGCTGGCAAGGAAGCCATGTACAGAACATTGCTGCAGCAAGCACACAGCTAAGAGCTGTACGGAGTCATCAGGGCAAAGAGATTCCTGTGGCATCTGTTCCTCTGCCTTTACTGCAGGGCAGCGGTCTCATAGGGGTGTTACAGCACTGGGGATGGAGACACACCAGGCACAACTGTCCCATGTCTTCTTCCTCCCCCCCCACTGCTGTCCACTACATGCCTGTGTCAAGAGGCAGCCTGGCGGCAGTGTCAGGAGGAACAGGGTACCCAGTGGGTGCTTTGTGCAGAAAAGATTGACCTGTTATACAGTGGTTTCATGGACACTTGATTTCCTGGCCTCCTTCAGGTAGCAGCAGTCAAGCTTGGGTGGGGCTGCTTCCTTATGGCAAAAATCCACACCCCCCCTCCGCAGGCTCTTTCATGCAGCCTCCCTCCAAATCGCCTGACAGTGAACCCCCGTTGCTACATGCTGCTCACCACTGATGAGCTTTCAAAAATGGGGATAGATAGATTGTGTTGGGATAGCAGGCATTAGCTGGGCAAGGCAGCCTTGGGCAATTTGACAGGAAAGGGGACATGGGTTCTCTGCAGCATTATCTGCCTAGAGTTATCCAGCAACAAGCCTGGACTAATTCCCAGAGATTCAACAATTTTTAAAAATAATTCTGATGATTTATTCCAAGCTGTCACAGTGAAGACTTCTCCATCAAACACTGAACTCGCAACAGACTGAAGAACAGAGCGACCTGCAGTATGTGACATGGTACTAAGCACTGGAACTCCTCTCTCACACTTCTTCATAACCCTCTTTCCGCTGAATTTGTTGAATGAGCCAATCTATGCTACAAAGAGTCACCTGGGCAATCTGAGTGTGAAACACTTTAATACACTACTTAATGAAGAGGCACATTCAAAAAGGATGCCAACTGATTAACTGGCTAATGGGCAGCTGATGTGTGCAACATAATAGAGAAAATAAATAAATACATATTTTTGAAGGAATAAAGAAGACAAAGTTCCATAAAGGTTTGGCTTTGTATTGCTTCCCCTCTGCTATGTGACTGTTTCTACCATAAGACGTATAGATAATTGCAACCACTTATTAGATTTTTGAACAGAACCAAGTCCACTGCAGAACATTAAGTCTTACAGCAAATTCTTAAAATCTGATAGTAATGAGCAAAGACTTGCAAACCGTTGCTAGAATTTACACTATAAACCACTAATTTTTTCACCTTCATATTGAAGAAATGATTTTGCTGATCTTGGAGACCATTAAAAATCTATATGAAGTCTTATTAGGGACTTCTAATCTTCAAGCCATGATAGGTAATACTTTGTTAAGACATTCACACCTTTGCTATCACATGCAATTATCTTTAATAGGCGTCATATTGCAAATAGCACAAAGAAATTATGTTCATATCCACTATGTTCCTGAAAGGTTAACAAAAAAAGGATGGGTTTGCAAAGTGTGTAAAATAGTATTTCACATTTGCAATGAATAGTTTAATTTTATCACTTCTTGTCCTTTTTCTGACCTTTCCTGGTGGACATCCTTAGAAAATATTATTGCATTATGAAAAACAGCAAAAGAAGTTATTTTGTTTTACAAGTGTATATCATAGACAAGAATTTGAGAGGTCTCATCTACAGAAATAGTTTTCAGAAGTTCCTGTATATGCAGCTCTACTAATGATCACTGCTAATGGTGTATTTTGGATTTATGTTCTCTTGATGTGCTTTGGACACATACAAATTGCACAGAGACAAAAGCATTTTAGTGCTGTGTAACTAGACAGGTTTTGCTAATATCATCCACAGGTGTTTAGCAAGATAGTGCAGTGTAGCAGATGGTAGAAATCCATCAGATACAAGTTATCTTTCTGATCCACTTTGCTCTTCATTTTTGTGCTCATTTACACTGGAAGATTTCTGGAATTCATACTGTGCGCTAGTGAAGCTTCAAGCAAACAGTCCAGTATGTGTAACAACAATGTTAATGTCAATATCCAAAGAAATACCATAATAACTAGGCGAAAATGGGGTTTGAACAGCATGAAAGAATTTTCTTCTTGAAAGAAGTGAATTATTACAGTGTTGGGAAGAGGGCAATATTAAAGAAGCTGCTGTCAGATTTTCTCAGATGATAATATATTGATTTTTGTTTTATTTTTCCATTTACTGTCACTCGCTACTGGAACTCCTGTCTTAAAGAAATCAGTAAATTAACATAAAATGCCCTCTGCCTGTAGAATGAGCATGTAGAGAGCTGTAGAGAATGTGTGATACCTTGCAGTCTCTTTCATGAGAGAAATTGCAATAATTAAAAGTTAATCTACTGGTAGAGATACCACCGTACTTAGCATCACCCAGTGTGGACTGTGGAAATATACTCTAAAGGAGGCTCTTTTATCTCTGGAAGTCACATGGTAGAATACTTCAGAGGATTACAAACGAATTTGTCCTCAGGATAAAGCCTGCTGCCCCAACAGATCAATTCTCTGAGTAATGTAAAATCACATTCAGAAGCATTTTGTTTTGCAACTTCCTTGCCATGAAACCAACATAATTTGTTATGTGGTAGTGCTGAGTTAGAAATTGGAAATATTATTATTACTGTGACAGTTATCAGCCTCAGCAATTCTTTTATTGCCAGAAGGCACAGAGACACAGGCAAACTGATGTCACAGCATGGGACTTGTCAGGTGGAAGACAGGATCAACACAGCAACCAGGAATAAGGTGTCCAGGAACTGGGTT